CACGTCATTTCTCGACCCGCTCTTTCATTTGAGCCCAAAAAAACATTCATATCTTGTCTGACATCGCTGCTACAAACTCGGGTCTTCAACTCGGGTTTTCATTTGAAGGCCATGGGTCGTGGTATTAATATTTCTAGGGAGTTTGGGGAACAAAAAATGTAAAAACCTGGAGAGGGTATCAGACAAATAAAATAAAAAAAATAAAAAAATTATAATTCAAGTAATTATAAAATTATTAATAACGTAATTGAATTATTATAATTCATTTGAAATGATTTACATTCAATTTTTCTCAATTAAAAGTAAAAATCATTCCTGGGAAGATGAATAATCGATCCCGCAGTAAAAAAATCTTTATTTCTCCATAACTCAAGATAAAAATATACAAAAAATCTCATAGATTCGTAATTTAAACATAACTGAGCAAACGGAATGTTTAATGACGATAATTATTATATCAATGATACAACTGTTTCAGGTTTGACGGAATTGGTGCAGGGAACAGACATGTTTGTTGCTCCTCCGAGATCGGGATTAGCTACGTAAAATGGGAAAGATGGTATTCCATTGCAGGCTGCGCCGTAGTTTCCATTTTTATCAATTGCAATTACTCCGCCAGTGAATGCTGGGTAATGCTTGGCAATTCTTGCTATCGCTTCGGCAGCTGCTGCTGTTGGAGTTGCGCCACGACGCATTTCTTCGACAGCGAGAAAACTATAGAAAAATTAATGTACTGTAATCCTCGAAGAAAGGCACCTGTAGAAGAGTGGTTTTGCAGAGGAAATTCTTGCACATTTAGTCAACAATTTTATTGAGACTTTATTGAAAATCTACCCGAAATTCTATTTTTTCGACGATTCTGTTGACAATTTTCACACCTTTTTCACGTATTTTTTAAGGGGAGACTACTATGAGTTTTAAAAGTCGTGGGTTATTATAGAGAGACTTTTCATACGTTGAAGATCGATTACATAGATCTGAAAACGAATAATTAGTGCAAAAAAATTTTTTTTATTGTGCGTTTGCCCGAAAACGCTTAAAATGCTAAAAACAGTCCAGAGCCTTCAATTTTTGTGCTACAAAAGATTTTTTTTTTTTTAATTTTCGGAACAATGTGTGGAACAATAATTACGAGCCAGTTTTTTGGAATTCGACTCCTACACAGCTGATTTCGGTTTTTTCATATAAAAAAATTCACTATTTGTGTAAAAAAATATAAAAAATCAAATTTAGCCATGTAAGAGCCTAATTGAAAAAAAAATAGCTCGTAATTGTTATTCCACATATTTTTCCGAAAATTTTGAAAAAAAAAATCCTTCGTAGCTCAAAAATTGAAGGCCCTGGACTGTTTTTGGCATTTTAAGCGTTTTCGGGCAAACGAACAATAAAAAAAAATCTTTTTGCACTAATTATTCGTTTTCAGATCTATATAATCGATCTTCAACGTATGAAAAGTCTCACTCCAATAACCCACGACTTTTAGAACTCATAGTAGTCTCCCCTTAAATAGAAATGTTTAATAGAAAATATTGTATAAAAAATCAATAACATTAGAACTTTTCAACGGACTCATTCTGCTGAGATTGTTCAAATAAGGGAGAGTGGGACAATACGGAGACTTGACTTTTTTTTAAATGCACTGAGAGAAAAACGACAAAGTTCTTAAGGATGTTCTACACCCTTTCTGCCAAAATTCACGTTTTTTAAATTTTTCTGGCAAACTTATGATGGAATTGACGTGAAAAAATATAACGTTTTTGCGTTTTGTCATTATTTAATGACTGACGAAATTTTAAGGTGGTGCGAACATTTTCCTGCATTTTCTCTAAACTTTTAAAAAGAATCACAAAACTGTAAAAAAAACGCATGAAAATTATCGCACCACTACGCAACTTCGTGAGCCATTAAAGAATGACAAACCACAAAATCGTTATTCACGTCACTCCCATCGATAATTTGCCAGAAAAATGAAAACAACGTCAATTTTGGTTAAAAGGGTATCGAAGATCCTTAAACAAGTCTCACTTGTGCCAAGAAAATAGTTTTTTAACAATGATCAAAAAAGGATTTTTTTATGCCGACCATGCAAAGAGTGCGCTGGAATGAAATTTTTCTTGAAGTCAAGAAATCATTGGAATCTACTAAAAATGATGGAAATCACAAGAAATAAAGAAAAATCATGATTTTTAATGCTGATTGAAAAATCGCTAAAATCATTCGAGAAATCACAGAAATCAACAGGAAATGATCTGATTCTGGAAATCACTAAGTCCCTCGACTGAGGAGTGACCAGCCCCTCGCACCGTCTGGGGCGAATTATCCGCCTCTTGAGCCAACTATTTCCTTGTTGTCGAGAGCAGAACAATTATTCATGTTTGAAACTTTCAAATTCGAACCAAACAAATTCTTTTTTGGCAATTTACAACTAGAGATTTCGTTGGCCTAAACAAGACTTGTTTAACAACGTATTTGTTTTTCTCTCAGTGTGGGATAGAGTCATTGGAACACGCAATAAGCTGCGAGATGATGATGATAGAAAATCGTTTTCGCAAAAACGGTATAGTATTTCGCGTAAATCCGATCAATAATTTGCCAGAAAAATGAAAAAAACGTGAATTTTGACCGAAATGGTGTCGTACATTTTCTACAATCCTTCTACAAAATTTTTTCGTACGTGAATTGAGGGGCAAATACCTTGGAACGAATCGCATCATAATATCGCCGTCCCCAGTCCCAGCAGCAGCCCCAACTTCTTGATCAGCATAGGCACCCGATCCTGGGATAGGTGAATCCCCAATCCGTCCGGGGATTTTATTCTTGATGCCATTGGTAGATGTTCCTGCAGCAATTCTTCCATTGCTGTCCATCGCGACTATTCCAATAGTGTCGTGGTTATCTTCATCAGAGTCAGGGCTGCTTAGTCCGTACTGCTGGCTCAATTCTTCTTTCGGAGTGTATGGGCCACATGATTTTGAAGGATCTGGAGAGACGTTCTGCAATTGCGAATGATTTATTCTATTAAATTACGAATGAAAATTCTATTGAATTTCTATTAAACTGTTCTATTAGTTTTTGGCCGATTCTATTGAAATGTTCAATAGAAAATATTCTGTAGAAAAAGTCAGTAGAATTCAATTTTTCTATATAACTTATTCTATTGAGATATTTTCTATAGAATTTCCTCGGCTCAAATTTTCTAAGTTTTTTCATTTGATTTTCTTGATGAGAAGAAAAGAAAAATAGAATGAAACAAAATTAGAAAATTTGAGTCGAGCAAATTCTATAGAAAATATATGAAAAGAATAATTTATTTAGAAAAATCGAATTCAGTTGACTTTTTCTATTGAATGTTTTCTATTGAACATGTCAATAGAATCAGCCAAAAACTAATAGAAAGTTTAATAGAAAATCAATAGAATTTTCCAACAAATTCGATAGGTTTTTCTATTAAATTTTTTCGTGCGTGTCCACTGGATTGTAATCATGTCCCATAAATGTTCCAATGGAACATTCGATAGACAGAAAAAATGTACTATACACCATTTTTAATACATCCCGGGGACACCTCTGGTGTGTTACACAATGTAAAACATTCAATAGAAAAAATCAATACCATTCGATTTTTCCATACAACCTATTCTATTGAGATATTTTCTATAAAAATTTCTCGCCTGAAATTTTCTAAGCTTATCTGTCTGAATTTTTCAATCACAAGAGAAAAAACATAGAGTGGAAGTTCAGAAAATTCACGTCGACTTTTCACTAGAAGTTCAATACAAATCCAATAGAATTTTCCATTGAATTCGCTGGATTTTTCTGTGAACTTTTCGTGCTCGTGGACCTCTGGAAAAACCATACCTTCCAGAAATTAGGTTGACAGTTGTTAGCCCTCCACTTCTGCCATATGTCCGTCGAAAAATTAGTCGTCAGTGATTCCTCTTTGAATCCCATTCTTACAGCGAACTCCTTGGCCTGATCCCCACCCAGTAGAGTATGTTTCGTATTTTCCAGGACTTTTCTCGCAACTGATATGGCACTTTTGATTTTTCTTATACCACCGACTGCTCCGACATCCATCGTGACCCTAAAAGCCGTTGCATTCGAAAATACTTCATAGAAAAATGTAACGAAATCGCTGTAAAATTCTATTAAATTTCTATTGAACTTTTTATTAGTTTTTGGCCGATTCTATTGAAAAATTCCTCAACTGGTCGGTGCGTTTTTATTTTCAATAGAAATGGTCGGCGGAAAATATATGGCCCGGTTGCACCAGCTACGGGAAACCGTCAGATAAGAAAAAAAGTAAATTTGGATGTTCGATGGATTATTTTACCCGGGAGAGTATCTCAAATTTATCCCAGGAACAAAAATAAAATTTAATGAAAAGGGTGAATCAGTGTTAATTCAAATGAGGCTACAAGATAAATAAAAAATTATTCTTCGGGTCAAATATTAAAAAATTATGACCCCTACGATATAATTGATCCCGAAGATAAATTTTACCCTGGGGGTTATTTGGATAACAGGGCTTGGTGCCACCGGGCCTATGAATATTCTTTGCCTCACACATTTTCCAAGTTTTTGGGCTCGATTTTTTCAATGAAAAGAGAAGAAAAATGGAACAAAAAAATGGAAAATTTTCCTACAGAAAATATCTCAATAGATTTTTCATAAAAAAAGCACAGTAAATCTGCGGAATTCTTCAATAGAATCGGCCAAAAACTTACAGAATTTTTAATAGAAGTTCAATAAACATTCAATAAAATGTCGGACTGGAATAGAATTTTTCCCTGTGTACATTCAGGGAGTTATGGCCTACCCATCCATTATCATAGCGTCCAGTGTAGTTTCTCCAGCTTCATCAGGACTCCCGCCGTAACCGACTGTAGTTCTGCACTGCATTGCTTCGCAGAGACTACCCGCGGCTTCAACGGCATCGACTGAAGTCTTCTTCTCTTCATTGAGAACTTCCCAGGCTGTAGTTGATGATGAAAATGTTGGAGAACATTTTTCATTCATTTCATTTATTTATTTATTGGTATCAATTGCATTAAGAAGTAGAGAAATAAACTTATTGTATTAGATGTGGGAATTATTTTTAAGAGGTCTTAGGCTGGATTTCTCCAAAGGATATTCGATTTTTTTCACTACAAATTCTATCTGTTACCAAGTAATACGATAAAAAGTTGCAGATAACAATGGGCAATACATTGCATGCACGAAAACATTTAATAGAAAAACCTAGAAAATGCGCTAGAGAATGCGCTAGACAATTCTATTGAACTTTCTATTATTTTTTGGCCGATTCAATTGAAATATTCAATAGAAAAAGTCAATAGAATAAATTGTATAGAAAAATCGAATACTGTATTGACTTGTTCTATAAAAATTGAATAGGATTATCTAGCGAACACGCTAGGTTTTTCTGTGAAATTTTTTCATACGTGTGATTATAATTAAATTCATTTTTTATTCAAGAAAAATAATTTTTTTCACCAAGACATCGTTTGAAAATAATTACCACACGAAGTAGTACAGGTAGTTTATCTGTCTTTTCGATGCTGAATCCAAGTTAGAATCCATGAATTTTCATAAATTTTGTTTTGCATTGAACATTATTTTTAGTGTGCAGCGAGAGAAATTTCACAATTTCAGGGATTGATTAATTCGTCCATGAATTATTAATAACTCATTTGTCTCCGCAAGAGTGAGAAGATAAGTCACCAGTAATAGAAGTAAACAATATTGATAAATTTATCTTCTGCTCTTATAACATCGACCATGCGGCCATATAGAACGTACCGATGTCGAATAAAAATGAGAATCTGAATGTATGACTGATTTTTGAATGTGCAATTGACCTTTTTACTCCTCCAACGAATATTCCAAATAATTACCACACCATACGAGAACAAATTTAATAGAAAAACCTAGCGAATTCGCTAGACAATTCTATGGGATTTCTATTGAAATGTTTGATTGAAAATATTCTGTAGAAATTCTTCGGCTTAAATTTTCCAAGCTTTTTTCATTTTATTTTTCTTTTCTTTTCATCAAGAAAATTGAACAAAAAAACTTGGAAAATTTGAGCCAAGAAAATTGAACAAAAAATATTTGAATAGAATAAGTTGTATAGAAAAATCGAATTCCAATGACTTTTTCTGTAGAATATTTTCTGTTGAACATTCCCATAGACTCGTCCAAAACATGATAGATAATGCAATAGAAATCCAATCGAATTGTCTAGTGAATTCGCTACGTTTTTCTATGAAATTTTTTCGTGCGTGGGGTGTGTATCGCACCCTATTTAACGCTCAGGGATGAAAAATTGATGTATATTCAGAATTTTACCAAGTTTGGTTGCAGCCGGATAATCCCATGTTATCACGACCAAAGGTCCTTTTGCAGTGGTTTGGGCATCAATCCCATTATGAGAGAAGGCCACGAAGAACACAAATCCTAGAGTGATAATCATCCTCTACGATATTCCCTGCAAATGATAAAATTATCGAATATTGCACGCGAGAGAATGTTATTGCTGTGAAATAATTGAGAGCCTAGGGTGTACTGAGAGCTCCGCAAGTGCAGCAGTAATTATGAAAGCGGGTGTCTGTGGATTGATTGATGGAAAAATCCAAGTTGATATGAAGAATCGAAAATTTGTTTTGTCATTTTTTGTTTTGACTTCAAGCTTTATCATTCATTATCGAAATATTAACAGTGATTCAGAAAATTTTCGTGCGAGATAACGACATCAATTTAATTACTTTTATACTTATTACTTCTCCTTTCTTTGCATTCATATCAATCAACATGTTCACAAAATATTTTCAATTCTCTCATTGAAGTACTCGCGCCCGAAAAGCTTTAATAGAAAAACTTCGCGAATTTGATAGAAAATTCTATTGGATTTCTATTGAACTATCTATTATTTTTTGGTCAATAGTCATTATAATTTGATTTTTCTACATAACTTATTCTCTTTAGATATTTTCCATAGAATTTCCTCGGTTCAAATTTTCTAAGGTTTTTTCATTCTATTTTTATTTTCTTCTCACCAAGAAAATCAAATAAAAAAGTTTAGAAAATTTGGGCGGAAAAGTCTATAGAAAACGTCTCACTAGAATAAGTTGTACAGAAAAATCGAATTCTTTTGACTTTTTCTATAGAATCAGCCAAAAACTAATAGAAAGTTGAATCGAAACCCAATAGAATTTTGTAAGAATTCGCTAGGTCTTTCGAATTTTCGAAATTCGAGTTATCCCAAGTAGCAAACCTTGCGAAAGATATCTGAAAGTATACCAAAAAGGCTGACTAATGTCCGTCCAAAAGGTATCTTGCAGTCATACGATAACTTTTAGTTAACTTCTAGGTAACTTCTAGACACAAGTTACCTTTTTGGACAGACATTAGACAGCCTTTTTGGTATACTTGTCCAGAACTGTGCTGCTTGGGTATGTTTATACTACTTTAAGCCGTACTGTTTCAAATAGGACACCCCTGCAATGCCCTGCATATAAGCAGAGATTAAATAAAATTAATGGTAAATATAAGATTATTATCGGTGACGATATTGAATCAAAAATGTACCCAACTGACTTCAAATGTGTTATCAATGGAAAATTGTTGTTGTTTGTTTGGCTGATTGGCAAGTGTGTACTATTAGCGTACACTAGCACCACCTGGTGCACGTATCCACAGCTGAACTGCTCCGAAAATCAGCTGATAGGAGTGGGAGTGATGTGATGACTCCGGCGATGGAGTATCCACGTTGACAAGTGTCAAGACTCATTTGTGATAATTCGTATGCTTCGTAAATCAGTTTTGGAGTGAAATCATCATGTCGATTCTGCATTGCGTTTTGTAAGAAAAACTTATTTTTCTCTAATGAATAATCATCATTTAATCTCTCTATGTATACTTAGTTGTTATGCCACTCCAGTTGTTGTTACTTGTCGTTTCCATAAAATGAATTCACATTGTTAGTCAGAATTCTTAGTCGAGATATCTTTTTCGAATTTATCAGTATTTTTCTACTCTCGTCCCGAATTTAAAAAAAGACCAGAAAATATTATTATTTTTTTATTTTATTATTTTATTATTTGGCCCATTTTCGATAGAAATTATTTCAATAAAATGAGTTCCATTGAAAAATCGAGTTTAAGACCCGCGTGGAGATTATCTTTCGAACGTGATCTTGCTTGTTTTATTTATTTTGATAATCTGAAATGATCTCCAATTGCTATTCAGTTTTACGTAGCCCTGGAGTCTCCAAAAATTATAATTGTATAATCAAAAAAACGTTGAAATAAAGCTGAACATTTTCGAAGAGCGTTTTTGGATAATATTGAGACATAAACTCAATAGGGAGGAAATTGCAAATTAATAATTTGATGTATCTAATGGCTGTTAGGTCATGATTTGTCATAGTATTTGTCAATGGCTGTTAGATCGACAGTTACCATGATAAAATATCCATTCACTATTTCCTCCCTATCGGATTTATTTTTTATTTTTTTAATCTTTATTAAAAATGCTCTTCGAAAATGTTCCGTTTTTTTTTCTACTTTTTTAATTCTATAATTATAATTTTTAGGGACTCTTGCGTGATGTAAAATCCAATGGAAATTGTGATACTTTACATTGTGAAGATGGAAAAACAATCGAAATAACGGGTGACCGGATTTTTTTCTCCCCGAAATATTTTTCCCTGAAAATCATCGAAAAAAAAATCTCCGGCAAAAATGAAAAATAAACATATTATAATTTTTAACTTTATTGTTAATGTTGAAAAGTACTTAAGGAAATTGTTTTGAAAACGTTGACTGTTAATTTTTCGGAAATGTAATTTATTATTCATTCATGGTTGGTTCTTTGGAAATATGCTTCTTTTGAAATGGATTGTTTTGGTAGTGTAAGATGATATTTTGTTGAATGCTGTCAATGTTTTTTTTATGAATCTGCAACTTTGTAGGACGAGAATGCTTGTTAATGAAGATTCATTGATTGTTGGGGCAAGAGATTAATTGGAATTATTTCGGAGAATTGGTTCGAAAATGTTGACAGTTAATTTATTGCAGTAACGTAATTTATTTATTATTGATCTATTGAAAAAGTTGATTTCTCATCTGGCGTGTCTTCGAAGATTGATGGATGTAATAAATAAAATTGACAATGGTAATGTGTGTTTGTGTAATTGTTTTTACATTCGTAAGAGGAAATAATTCTGGGAATTCTCTCCGGGGAATTTTTTCGGGAGGAAAAAAATCCGGGAACAGAGATAACGTCCGAAAGATGATGCACCTGGGCCTTAATATATTTCTATTTACTTCTATTTTTTCGTTCTCTTCTCCAGAGACACGATTTATGGATTGACCAAGGGTATCGTCATCCTCTCGTCATGCACAGTCATCACTCTCCTGATAATAGTTCCAATCTGGACGATATACTGGAGACGAATATTCGCGAATCAGAAGAAGGAAAACTCTAAGAAAAATACGACAATTGGAATATTCCACCCGTACTGCAATGCTGGGGGTGGAGGCGAGAGGGTCCTCTGGAGTGCGATTGAAGCCCTCCAGAAACAATACTCCAATGTTCATATTGCTGTTTATACTGGGGACCTCGACACTGATCCAGAGCAGATGCTCAACAAAGTCCAGAAAACTTTTGATATTCAGTTGCGTCCAGTCGAGTTTATTTATCTGTACAAGAGGAAGTGGGTTGAGGCTGACATTTATCCGAGGTTCACCTTGTTGATGCAGAGTCTGGGGTCGATGTATCTGGGGTTCGAGGCGTTAAAAGCGTTTCAACCAGGTAAAAAAACCCATTTTATTCTCAATTAATGGAGTTTCTATTATTTCAGACGTAATTTGGAGAAATGAGCATAGATCGACATCAATCATTACTTTAGTAATATTATGAGAAGAAGAAAATTACAATAATTAAGTTTTTACTTATTACTTCATTGAATTTTGAAAAACTATAATAATTGGTAATTTAAATTTCTCAATTATTGGTTGATAAAATAATTCGGAATTTCAAGATTTAAATTGACAGTTACTTTAATAATCAAAAAGTTGGCGAGCAGTATCAACAATTGACTTATTCAAAATTTAACGCTAATTAAAAATTATGATTATGCCGATGTCTGGAAATGAGATCAGCACGCACGGAAAAATTTAATGGGAAAACCTAGCGAATTCGCATAACAATTCTATGGGATTTCTATTGAACTTTCTAGTTATTTTATTTTTCATTTTTGGACGAAATTTAAGATTTATGTATTTGAAGAAAAGGCGAATAATCGCCGGAGGTCGGGTGTGAACCCAAGAACTTGACATTGCCAGTCTGATCCTCTATAAAGGTGGCGATCCACTGAGTACTATTGAACTTTCCATTAGTTTTTGGCCGATTTTATTGGAATGTTTAACAGAAAATATTCTGTATAAAAAGTCAATAGAATTGGAATATTCTATACAACTTATTCTATTGAGATATTTTCTATCCAATTTCCTCAGCTCAAGTCTTCTACGTTTTTTTAATTCTCTTGATGAAAAGAAAAAAAAATAGAATGAAAAAAACTTGAAAATTTTAAACCGAGGAAATTCGATAGAATAAGTTATATGGAAAAATCGAATTCTATTGAAATTTAATTAGTTTTCGGCTGATTCTATTGAAGAATTCCTTAGCTTTACTGCAATTTTTTTGGTAGAATTTTATATTAGAAAATGTCCAATAGAAATTATTCTATAGAGGAAAGATAGTAGAATTTCATTTTTTCAAACAAATATTTTCTATTGAGACATTTTCTATAGGAATTCCTGGACATCAATTTTCAAAGTTGTTTTCACTCTATTTTCCTTCTCATTTCATTTAAAAAATCAACCAAAAAAACTTGTGAAATTGGAACCGAGGAATCTCTATATAAAAATTATCTAAAAAGAATAAATTGTATTAAAAAATCCAATTCTGGTGATTTTTCCTATTGAATATTTTCCATTGAAAAATTCTACAGGAAAAAATGGAGAAATAAGTTGCAGAATTTTCCAATAAAATCGGCCAAAAGCCAATAGAATTTTCAATAGAATTCCAAGTTTTTAATGAAATTTTTTCTTACGTAAGCTTAATGTCCAAATCAATATCAATTCTGGAAAATATTTTTTGAAAACCCATTGAATTAGTGAAATTTTTGTATTTACTTTTTGTATAGTTTGCATTCTGCTCAATAAACATGAGAAAATAAATCAATAAATGAATGAATAAATGAATGAATTAATAAATTAATAAATTAATAACTGAATGACTAAATAAATGAATGAATGAGTGAATCAATTAATCACTTAATGAATTAATAACCCTTAATAAAATCATTTCAGACATTTACATCGACACAATGGGCTACGCCTTCACATATCCACTCTTCAAGTACGTCGGTGGCTGCCGAGTTGGTTCCTACACCCATTACCCAACGATCTCCACCGATATGCTGCGTCATGTCTACCGAAGAGTCGTATCCCACAACAACCATCGCATAATTGCCCGAAACCCCTTCCTGTCAGCAGCAAAAATCGCGTATTACAAGCTCTTCGCAATGATTTATGGCTGGATGGGCAGATGCGCCGATATCGTGATGGTGAACTCCTCGTGGACTGAGGACCATATCAATTCCATTTGGAAGTGTCCACTCAAGACACACAGGGTTTATCCACCCTGTGCTATTGAGCGTTTGGCTAATTTACCGCTTTTGTCTGACGAGGAGAAAGGGAATATCATCAGAATTGTGTCGGTGGCACAGTTCAGACCTGAGAAGAATCATCCGTTGATGCTGAGGATTATGTATGAGCTTAGATCGATTATCAAAGAGGAGGACTGGAATAAAGTAAGATTTTTATTTATCCTCTCTTTTTCAGGGGAAAAACACTTTCTGATCTCCAGAATCAAGTTAATGTTTTTTGAGAAACTCTTGGTTCTGAAAGACATAGTGTTGGGAACAAGAATTGAATTGAATTTTTCATCACGCAAGAGTTCCTAAAAATGATAATTTCACTGTAAAAACAAGTGCGACACTGCTTTCGTCACAAAAGCAAATTCACATAGTGAATGTATTTTTGCTCATAAATTAGCAATTTGGTTTTGGATGGAATTTCTATGACGATGTATTGGTAATTGAATTTAATGACTCAATGAATTCAACACTGCCCCAACGTTGGCAGCCAACATTGCCCTAACGTTAGTACACGGAGAGAAATTTTCTAGAAAAATTCTAGTACGAGGACTGGAAAAAATACAATCCACCGGTTGTGAAAAATTCTAGTGCTGTTAAGGTAAAATTTATTGGTATTTCTGGTCAAATTTCTGGGGATCTCCGTGAAATTTTCACAGAAGTACGGGAAAAAATTCACGTTTTCCCCAATAAAATTTCTAGTGCCGGCACTGGAATTTTTTCCTGGCCGTCACTTTGCGCCTAGAATTTTTCTAAAAAATTTCTCTCCGTATAGCCAACAGTGCCCCAACGTTAAACTGTTTAACCTTTCTCTGTATTTAGTCCAAGCTTTGTAGAAGATACCACAGGGACCGCAGTGGAATAAAATTCCGAGAATTACGTATCCCCCACATTACTTGCACTCAGAGGGGAAAATATTTTTATTTGAAATTCTCCACGCAAGATACTAGACTATTCCCACTTTTATGATCATTTGAGTACGATTCCTGATGTGAAAAACGAATGCTTGATTAGAAGGCATTGTTTATTTTCAAAATAAAAATTTAGAAATTCGGAATAAGTTAGTATTGGATTATGTGTAGGAATACTCAATAAAAACACATTAGTTTTATTCTTCAAAGTAAAACTCTTTAATGATCGCACGCAGAAGGTATATCTTTCTCCAACGAAGTCTCTAGGACGACTAACTAAAAGTCATGAGAGTTTTCACTCTCTGGACCCATTTGACAAAAGGCCCTTGTTTCAATTTTCTTCAGCCTCTCCTTTGTGACTCACCATGAGGACTGTTTTTCTTCACGTCTCTATTTTCTAAGAAAAGCCATAAATGTCACCCTGAGTGTTTGGGTGGAAAAGAGAAAATGTTTAACTAAACTAAGAAATTAATTTTTGTATTCAGGCATGAATTCCAACAGTTAGTTTGTTAACAGGGCCCTGCGAGCAAAAATTGAGACTTTCATTGGAATTTTGGTTTTCATAAAAATTGAGTGGAATTTTGTTTTGTTTCGTCTATCTATCCGTTCAAAAAATGAATGTAAAACACATGGAGCAATAGTGTAACAAAATAGATGTTTTACCAAGTTTTATGGCCGATGCGTTAATTTTTTCTAGTAACTATAACGAGCGCCCATTCGTTTTGAAATTCAATTGTTGTGCAATTAAGTTCTAGATCATAGATCCATGTATTTCCAGTAATTTCTGCAATATCTCAACTCCATTCCCACTCAATTCTAGCCCATTTGTCGAGTACCTTGTATGAAAGTATCTTGTACGGAGTTTGAACTGTATTGGTTTCAAAATAAATTTTTTCAGCAGGAGATCTCACATCTCATATCTCGCAATCAATCTCACGATCGAACTCAGTCAAGATGGCATTGGGAAGAATATTTTAAATGACAATTGGATTAATTTGCACTAAGACTTTTTAAACCTTTTTGAATTTACTTTTCCTCGTTACACTCAACTGGAGTTTATTCATACTACTCTAAAAGACCATTAACACCTTCAATAATTCCTCCAGGTTCGTCTGGTCCTCATAGGCTCCTGTAGAAACGACGACGATCGAACCCGAGTGAAGGACATGCAGGATCTATCGAAACACCTGGCAGTCGACGAGAACGTTGAATTCAAACTCAACATTCCATACAACGAATTGGTCAGAGAATTCCAACTGGGGACAATTGGTTTGCACGCCATGTGGAATGAACACTTTGGCATCAGTATCGTAGAGTGCATGGCTGCTGGGTTAATCATGATAGCTCATGACTCTGGGGGACCCAGGGCTGACATCATCGAAACCCAGCGAGGAAGTCAGACCGGTTTCCTAGCTGTCGACGCAGAAGAATACGCCAAAATCCTAGCCACGATAATCCACATGAATCCAGAGGAGAGGAACACAATAAGAAATGCGGCAAGAGCGTCAGTCAGCAGATTCTCCTGCGAACAATTCGAGAGGGAATTCCTGCGAACAGTTGCCCCACTCTTCCGACCCAAGTTGGAATAAAGAACTTGTTGTTCATGCACGAAAAAGTTCAGAGGAAAGCTTAACAGATTCGCTTTGAAATTTCATTGGACTTTATTCGAAATTCTATTAATTTTTCTATTTTATAAAAAAATTATATTGGTTTTCTGCGGGATTTCTCTAATGGAAATGTTTGACAAAAAATATTGTATCAGAAGAATCTATGTGTTCACACAATTTATTCTATTGAGACCAGTACTGTAGGAATTCCTCTGCTTAAATGTTCGATGAATTTTTATCCATTTTTCGAAAATCAAATTGTTTCATGTTTGAGAAAAATTGTGAGATTTTTTAGACTTTTTTATGAAACATATAAAACCAATATTTTTGATAATTGAGAAAGATTAGACAGTAGCTTTGACAAAATGAAGTGAACAAATTTTGTCTTATACACAGGCGCATATCGGATTTATTTTCAAATTGATAATTCACCTTCTGAAGACTCAAAAAAATTGAAGTAAAAATAGAGGGCAATGTGAAAAAATATACTGAATCAAAAAATTACATTAGGCACATAATGCACATATTTTATTTGTCAATAATCAACTCGAAATGGTGGAAAAAAATTTTATCAGCATGAAGGAGATAACTCCGTTCATCAGTTGAAAATAATTGAATTTTTTTAGTGCTTGAATCGAATAAACATTCTTAATGAGAAAACAAAAAAAATGCAGTGAAAAAAAAAAAGAAAATTTTGATCACGGAATTTCTATAGCAAATATCTCAATGCAATAAGTTGTACAGAAGATTGTAATCTATTTATTGTTATCTATGAACTAGTCAATATTGATGATTTTATATTTAAAAATCGCAGAAAGCCAGAATAATTTTTCAACAAAATTAGAGAAAAACAAATAAATTCGTTAATATAAATCGAATAGAATTTTCTAGCGAATACTTCAAGTTTTTCTATGAATTTTGTTTGTGCCTGTTTTATTGTACAAAATGCGACTGATCAATTCCAGATTTTTAACTAGATTAACGGATTAAGTGTAAATAAATCGAGTCATGAGGACGAATGTGATATCAGTGACAAATTCATTCTGGAGTTTATTTACGTGTCATTGGTAAGACCGCAGCCATTACATTCGAGGACAAAACCCTTGGGATCGGTTTCGTTGCAATTTTTCAGTTCGAAATTGAGTCCTCGGTCTTTCAACATTATTTTGGCGATTTCAATAGCGGTCTCTGTGTGCTGTGTGACTTTCTGGGACCCAATGGAGACTTTGGAAGTACCTCTGGCAAGGGCCATCAACAGAATAAGCTGAAATAATATTTTATTAATGGAATTCCTCCACAATTTTAATTCTTTCATGTCAGCGATGAAACCGTAAAGTTTTAAACTTGAGTTTTTCTGGGAGAAAATGATGGTCATGAGATGAGCAGATCAAGATCACGTTCGAAAGAGAATACATGCGAGTGTTAGTCCCTGATTTATTATTTCATCATCTTTCAGAATGACGCAATGCTTACTTGATCCTGCATGTGAGCATCCACACACGATCTATTGATTATGGGGTTCATGATTTGTTCAACTGCCTCCTGAGGAGGATTGGTAGCGTCTCTATTCGATCCCAGTCCAGAGCCTCCGAATACACATCCAGTGTCGGTTTGGCATACGACACTAGAATTCATAAGGAAATACATTAGGAAATGGAAAGAGTCCTTGAAAATTGGTTGTCTAGCATACGAAACAATTTCCTAGAGAAGCCTAGTGAATTCGCCAGCAAATTCGATTGAAATTATTATAGATAGATAGTCTTTTGCTCATTCTATTGAAAAATTGCACAACTTATCAGCGTGTTTTTTTAAATGGAAAATATTCTATGGAAAAAATCAATAGAATTTGGTTTCTCTGAATAATTTATTGTTCTGTGAAGAATCTGTGGAGAAATTTTCTATAGAAATTTTTCCCTTTAAATTTTCCAACTGTTTTGCTCGATTTTTTTCAATGGAATGATGAGAAAAATTGGGCGAAAAAACTTGGAAAACTGATGAGGAGAAATTCCGGCAGAAAATAGCTCAATAGAAAAAATCGAATAAAAGAATGAAATTCCACTTATTTTTCATTAAAATAATTTCTATGGGACCTTTTCTATGAAAAAAGTGCTGTAAACCTACAGAATTTTTCAATAGAATTAACCAAAAAGTATTCTTAACTTTTAATAACTTTTAATAACTATTTAATAAGTTTTTTTAATAAAAGTCGAATCGAATTTTAATGGAATTTTCTATCGAATTCGCTAAATATTTCTATGTAATTTTGTCGTGCGTGCGAGCAGCTCTCACTTGATGCCGGATCCATTGCCCACAGCCATGTTCCTGTCTTCTCTATACCCCTCAATGTTTATTGGAGGAACTTCAATCTCATTTTTCTCCAGTTCTTTGGAAAGAAAGTCTTTAACTTCTTCAGCCATTTGATACGCTGCCTATAATGAAAAATCCATATGGAATTATATTTTCGTTTAAATGATTGTTAATGATTTATTATTCATATGACCAATGGATCATTATTAATTATTCTCAATTAATTAATTAATCAATTGATGAAGTATGAAATATTTATAAGGAATTATTCATGATTTTTAATAATTATTCATTATTCCATTATTTTTTTGTTGATAAATAACTGATCAGCAGGGGTAGCCAAATTCGTAATATGAAATTATGATTAAATTTTCACACTGAAGAATCAATCTAAAAAATCAATTTCAGGAACAATTTTCATTACGTCAGTAATCAACAATCACTTTGTGAAAAATTGAAAAATACGTCATCAATGAGTAATGATTGCACATGAATTTACTATTACTTATTCATTTTCTAGCTTAATAATTGTTATTATTAGGCCACTGCACCGTGCCTACCTTCCGAAATTTTTGGGCGAGGATGTTCCTAAGTTAAACTCAACTCTCAATGCTGATTGACAATGAAGACTAATTACCCATTAATAATTGTTATAATATTAGTAATGCCGATCCCTGCTGGTTAGCATTCACTTACGTTTAGATGCACAGAGCCAGCTACATATGCCCATCCAGAGATTCCTTTGATATTACCCTGGTTAATCACTTCGATTGGTTTCAAATTTTTAATTGGCTTTATTCGTAGATTTACCTCACCACCACCTTTTGGATAGTATCCTCTGATAAAATAGAAACAGATCCATAAACATTTCGAGTTAAGGCCCGGGTGTACTATTTTTCGAACGTTATCTCAATGTTTTTTTTCATCTTTCGTCATCTGAAGTGGTCAATTAAGTCTTGCATCATGCAGAAGTTTTGAAAAATTATGAATGAATAATATAAACAAAGTAGAAAAAATTCTTAATTTTTTCAAAGAGCATTTTTAATTTATATTTAGAATAAGTTGAATAACAAGAAATTGAAAAATGTATCTGATTTACGGTGACAATTGGCGGCCTGTCACCCAATATCATGCAGGGGGAAGACTGATTTCGTAAATTTTTTTCCCACACTCCACAGAGACATTTATTACGGAAAAGGCTCTTTGAAAAAAGTTGTAATATTTTGGAGAATTTTTTAATCACACTTTTATCACATAAAAATGACAGATGGTTACATACCACTGTTTTGAAAATTGATATACCTAGCTGTCACTTCCCATGAGGAGTTAGTGTTTTGTTATCCACCATGGAAAATGACAGCTAACAGATAATTTGCCACAGCGAATCAGATATTTGTAATTTTCATTTTTTTCAACTCATTCTGAATCTCAATTAAAAACGCTCTTTGAAAAAGTTCAGAATTTTTTCTATTTTTTTTATCATTCTATCATAATTTTTAGGAATTTCTACATGATGTACCACTCAATTGACAATTTTGGATTACGCAAGACAAAAAAAATTCAGATAACATTCGAAAGATAGTACCCGGGCCTTAATCTGTTTAAAGTAGCATGAACATAACTTGAATGTTAATTATAAAAATCTCAAATAAATTCTAAAGAAAAGTTAATGTGAGTAGAAACATTCGGGTTGAGTTTGTGCTCAATCGACAGTTTAGTATTACTGATAATAATTAATCTAGAAGTGCAAAGATATTAGTCTTATAAGACATTTCGAACACAGAGTCTTACAAGAAAATGAACTCCTCAGCATTAGAGTGAAGATTAAAATATAGAAACAAATCTTGAAAAATCAGAAAAAATAAATCAAAATTCTATCCTCAATATAAAAATAATCGTCAGTTTCAAACTTTTGTAGTAAATAATTTATGTTTCATCGAAACACTAGTCAAACGAGAGACTATTGTTTAAAAAAAAATTGAGGAAATAATTTGATGGATGAATTTCTTGCATTCATCAACGTTAAATTCACAGAAAAAATCATCAATGATGAATAATTTTTCTTTTTGGCTTTTTGAATTCATTTTTTCTCGTTACACTCAACGACTTAACTGAAGTGTATTCATACTATTTTTAAAATTCATGGCACTTAAATATTTTCGTAGGAAACTCATCCATTCAGACGATAAAGTTTTTTCTCACCTCCTAACAACAGTGAAATCAAAGTCCCCTCCGAATTTATTGAGCCAGGGCTTGAAGACTTCAGTAAAGAACTCGATGTGTGGACCCATGGGAACATTGGTCCCACCTTTGAGGGTCAGGACAACCGGGCGATTGCCAGCAGGAAGGAATAAAGCAATTGGTACTGCCACTTGGGCCAGCAGGGCGATACACCCTGCTGTCTGTGTGTCAGCGTAAAATTCTCGCTTTCCAGTTTTCGATAGGGACTCTGGGTGGAACTCCAGACGCGTTGAACCGACGTACGCTCCTTTTATTTTGGCATTGCACATATCACGAGCTATTTCTACACCTTTAAAATAAATAATTATCTCATTTTCGAATATAATTTTCAGCGACAAACATCTAATTATTATTGCAAACTCCTCATTATTATTGCACTTAAAAATTTGTTAGCTGGATGCTCACTCATGGAGTGAATTCGTAAAATTATGCAAATTTTTGTTTATGAACTCCCGATAACAAGATTTTATCGAGTAATCGCTGCTAAATATTTCAGAAGACAAAACTAAAAATTAAGCCCGGTGGCTTGGCGCAGTTGGTAAATTCGTTGCCTTACAAACTTTTTTTTTTGAGGCATAATAAACTCAACTAAATAAAGTCCGTAATAATAATACATTTAATTTGATAATAAATATAGTTTTGTAATTATTCCAATGGAGAATTAATTCTCGCGATACTGTTTAAACTCGACAGACGAAAATTGGCCATTAGTTTATATTTTTCATAAAAACACGTTACTGCTCACGAATTTTTTTTAAAACTAGTTCTTAATAAATTTAAATATGTAAATGATGTTTGTTAACTAATAAAAACAATGTTAAGAAAAAAAAAGTTCGTTGTCTCACATGCGAAAGGTTCCGAGTTCAAATCCCGGCCGGGTAGAATGGTGCGATCTAACCATTTTAAAGTCTTGATCATCATCGTAGTATACCCTAACTGGGTCGAAGCGATGTAAAATAACGATAAAGAAAACTAAAAAAAAAAAAACTAAAAATTCCCCATGGGAAAAAATTTGGTAGAAAAATTCCTTGCATCAAGAGAAAACTTATTCTTTAATCATGTAAACAAAATCAAAAGAATTTTATTTTTCTACAGGCAACTATTCTATTTAAATATTTTCTATAGACACTCTTCAAACTCAATTTTCTACTTTTTTTATTGATTTTTTTAATGATGTGATAAAACAATGAAGTGAAAAAAATTAGGAAATTCACATAGAGAAATTTCGACAGAAAATGTCTCAATAGAACAAAATGAAGTAGATGATTTTAATCAAGTAGTCGCTGCTAAGTATTTGAAAAGAGTCAAATAAAAATCACACATACGAAAAGATTTGATAGAAAAATTCACTACATCGACAGAAAACACATTCATTTAATATTATAGAAAAAATCATAAGGATTTTATTTTTCTACATAACTGATTCTATTTAAATATTTTCTATAGACACTCTGCAACCTCAATTTTCTGAATATTTTTAATGGGGAAATAAAAAATGTAATGCAAAAAAATAAAAAAAATGACATCGAGAAATTTCTGCAGAAAATGTCTCAATAGAATAAATTAATGAAGTAGATGAGAAACTACCTTTGAGATGCTGTGCAGCTAGCCCTGGTTTTGCTCGTCCTGCCCTGATATTATCAATCTCGACAGGAATTTTATAAAGTGCACTTAGACATAGGGCAATCCTCAGCACTTGTCCTCCCTATTTTTGAATAAAAAAAATTTTGTTCTAATAAGGTTTGAAAAAAATTAGCGAATTCGCTAGACAATCTATTGAATTTCAATTGAATTGAACATTCTATTATTTTTTGGCCGATTCTATTGTTATGTTCAGTAGAAAATATTCTGTAGAAAAAGTCAATAGAATTCGATTTTTCTATACAACTTATTCTATTGAGATATTTTCTATAGGTGAGGATGAGGTAAAATGGACACTTTTGACTTTTTTAAAAAATATTCATAACTCAGCATCAGATTTATCAATTGAGCTCAGTCCAAGTTCATCACAAAGAGGAATCATTGTTATTTCTATTGAAAAATGAAATTATTCCATTTCATGAACAATTCAACACGTCATAGACATTTTTTAAAAAGTCAAAAGTGTCCATTTTACCCCACCCTCCCCTAAGTAGAATTTCTTCGGCTCTCAATCTCTCAGCAATCTGTACATTACAGATTGTGATTGGAGTAATAAACTCCACTTTTCAGGTCGTAATGTTGTAAAACACGAGCCCATTCAATAATCAATTAGACTTTATTAAATAATTTGGGGCGAAAACAATAATTAATTGACAGGGAAGGACAGAACAATATATGGATTACAGATGAAAGCAATAAACTCCACTTACGCCTTCTCCCAAGCTTCCATCGATTTTCACAACGTTGGACATGATTGTGAACAGTTTAAACATTCACCTAATCAACTTTGGGGTATGTAGTTCATTGACTTCTAGACTCCATCCGTCGTGATCTTTGTTTTTTGTTTTGTCAAGCTCTGTTGGTTATGGATGGAGTTTCCAGAATTCCCTGGGGGAGGTATATGAGGTGCCTGCTGCATGTATAAATAGGGTTATTCGCGTAAAGTTGGCGAGTTTATGAATTTCATCCTAGAATAATTGTTTCACCTTTGAAAGGGTCAGCGTGAGTCCTTTGGAGTAACGGAGTATGGCACCAATTGTGTTTACTTTCAGATGCTTTCAGAATTCGAACGGCGTGGTGGGGGGGAGGCACACAAGAAAAAATTTCCTCTATTAAAGTAGCTCTACCCTTCGGCCGGGCTACGCTATACTTTTGGATATTTTCAGTTTTTAAATTTTTCAACTAAATTGCATGGAAAAAATTTGAAAAAATTCATACCCAGTCAGTATTATCTAAATTAAATTTCGCAAAATATTGATATTTTTTCAAACATTTCCCTCTTATAAATAAATAATAAAACTTGTTTGCAAAACGGTGGATTATTTTATATGAGGTGTAATAAACATTTTCGATTTTTTCGCATCTAATGAAAAAAAATTCAGATTATTTTAATCTTTGATTACAATGAAAATGTTGATTTTCACATAAGACAGTGGGTTCAATCCTAATTTTTAAACATTTCTTCTTTGAAAAACCAAAACGATAATTAAATTGAGAAAAAAATTAGAATTCCGAATCTAATCGAGTTTTCTGCAATTTTTTTGCAGTTTTCCATAATCTTTGAATTTACCGTAAGGGTAGAGCTACTTCAAAAAAGTGTGAAACATTTTCGGTTCGCAATCTATTTCGCCACGCTTATGCGGTTTCAGTATGCAACATAGAGTGCTCACAAATATTATTATAATCCCCTATTATTTTATTTTCGTATTTATTTTTCAAATTCAAGAATAGAATAGAATATGCGCGGCTGGTCACTTAAAGCGCCCAGAGTCACCTAAATCATACGATCTTTTGTAACATCCGCCTTAGTTTCGGTCAGTCACACAGCCCCAGCCCTGTGTTTCTCACTAGGCTAATAAGGCTGGTGACCGCCGTTTGTCTTGTTGTAAGTCCTCTGGTTCCAGGAAAGCCTGGCCCCAGATTTTATAGCGACGGAGTGCTGATAGGGGGCATTGACATAAAATGTGGATGACGCCTTCCTTATCGCCTCCGCACAGTCTGCAGTCTTCTTGTTCTGCAAGTTTCATCTTGAACAGATGAGCTCTGAGAGCTGTATGACCCTTTGTATATTTGTATATTTCAAATTCATATACCATGTTTGAATGTTCATAATGTGGGCCTTTTTGGGTTTCATACCAGCTGCGTCCACGTCGCGAACCCTCACGTATGAAAAAATCGTATACAAATTTTCTATACGGATTGCGTATACAATTTATAGAGGATTTTCGTATATGATATTCGCATAATTCTATACGGATATTTTCTATACAAATTATTTCTATACGATTTCTATAGGTTTGATCCTATACGGCCTACTGCCACATGTATAGAACTATTTCGAATGGACTTGCGACATTTCTCTACGTTTTTCTCTGGAGCGTTTGGACATCTTTCGTATAAAAACAAAAATTTATGTAAAAATTTATCAAATCTATCGAATATCATATAGGGAAATCCTGCAGAATTTCTATACGCAATCCGTGCAAAAAATTTCTATACGATTTTTTCATGTGCTGAGTAATGCTGAAGGCTGGTATGGCAAATATATACGCCACCGTTTTCAATTTAAGGTAATACGTTAATATAATAAATAATAATTTTGCCGGATGGAGGGAGGTACCGAATGGAAAGTCTTATACAACTACGTGAGCAACTATAAAGTAATATACAAGATGATTCAAAGAGATTTAAATTCATTAACGGACCCCCACCCACAATTTTGATAAATAATTTAGTAGGAGCCGTGGTTGTAAACAGAAACCGCTAGACCGTTATGGCTTCAGTTTCCAACAGCTTTATCGAATGTACATATAAATCATGGTTTTTGAACGCTCAAGTGTATATCATTGTAAAGTTCAATATTTATCAGAATTTTCCATGGTTTTTTCGGAGATTTTTTCGTTGAATGAACGAAATAAATATTTCCCCTAGATTTCCAGAATGAAAAGGTCTATTGCGAAGTGTGGGAAGTCCACTGTCAGGCTAGAGTAAGTTGCAAATCAGCAAACGATTGAGTACGTTCTAAGAACTACGAATCTCAAAGTTAGCAATTCCTAGTAAGTGGCCTGTTTTTATATTTTTGCAATCAGTATTTTTCATTTATTACTGAATCTTATGGATCTATCTCGAAAATATATTGATTTTTCTTCCTGTAAAATTGATGATAGGCACGAAACAATTTAATAGAAAAATCTAGTGCATTCGCTGGACAATTCTTTTAATTTCTATTGAACCTGGAATAGAATTTGATTTTACTATACGACGTATTCTACTGAGATATTTCCTGATGTAGAATTTCTTCGGCCCAAATTTTCGACTTTTTTTGTTTGATTTTCTTGATGAAAAGGATAGAAAAATAGAATTAAAAAATCTTGGAAAATTTGAGCCGAGGAAATTTTATAGAAACCATCTCAATAGAATAAGTTGAATAAGTTGTCTAAAAAAATCGAATTCTATTGATGTTTTCTATGGAGTATTTTCTATTGAACATTTCTATACAATCCGCCGAAAACAAATAGAAAGTTCAATAGAAATTCAATAAAATCGTCTAGCGAATTCGCTAGGTTTTTCTATCAAATTTTTTCGTGTGTGAATAGGTAAAATCATATGTTACTTTTATTGTCTTATTTCGAGCTATCGCTATTGTCTTTCGTAGTGGATGCATAAACCCCTCTAATATCTCAAGTATTTCGTGAAGTGCTTTCTCCAAAGGAAGAAATCTCAGTCGTACACTCACACTCTATCCGCATTCCCATTTGCGCTGATAAAAAATATTTTTAGCTAATGAAAGTCAATTGTAATTTTGAAAAATGACAATACCTTGTAATCAAACATTGGCACTTTACATCAGGAATCGTTCTCAAATGATCGCAAAAATGGAAATCGTCTAGTATCTTGTACGAAGAATATCAAATGAAAATATTTTGAGGATACGTAATTCTCAGGATTTTATTCTCCTACAGTGCTTGTTTTTTTTTTTTTTTTTTTTTTGNGACTATATGGCGATTGATCAAGACTTTAAAAATGGTTAGATCTCACCATTCTACCCGGCCAGGAATCGAACCTGGAACCTATCCGTTGTGAGGCAACGGCCTTAACCAGTACGCCAGGCCACCGGGCTACAGTGCTTGTGGTATCTTGTACGAAGATTGGACTGTAAAAAGTATATCGGTAAATATGCATAAAGATTTGACCACTCGCGATTTATCTGCAAGTTTGTAAGTTGGTTGTAAGCATTATTAGAACAATACCTGTAAAATATTTTTCATCACGCTGTGACGAAAAGTGAACTTTTCGGCACGCTCCGCGTGCCTAAAAGTCCAATTTCCGCCACCTTTCTATTTCAATACCTCTTTCAAAAACCCATATAAAAAAAATTGTCATTCAAAAATTGAAATTGAAATCCACTTCAAAGAAATTATTAGTGAATTGATCTAGAAAAGGGAAAATAATTGACTAATCAAGTTATGTACAAAGAAACATAAAAACAGAACTGAAATTCAAGGAACACTGTCGAGGAATTGTAGCCAAAAAATATGGATTGTCGAAGCTTCTAATGACAATAAAAAAGACATTCTCAAAATCAAATAAAAACTTTAATCACTGGATCTTAAACACAATACAGTAAACATCACTATCGATTAATAAATAAAAAAATTATCGAACAACAAGAACACTAACAGGACGTCGGAAGCAACTGCCTTGCTCCAACTCTCTCTCAGGATAATGTCGGCAGGTAAACATTCATAATATACACAAAATCATGAGTAATGACATGAAGTCGTAGGACGGATGTGGTATCCCTGGAAGGTTCAAGTAACTCCCATAGATCAACATTTGAAATATGAGCGGTTAAATAAAGCAAAGAACATTTACAACACAGGACATTTACAACAGAGGAGGGGACCAATGCTATAGTTTTTCGCCACTGAGATTCAGAACATTGTAGTAAGAGTGATCTGGAAATCTATCCAACTCGATGTAATCAATTTCATCGAGGAGGAGTCCTTCGGCTAGTCCCACGAGTTCACTGAATGATGGGCGACAGGAGGGGTCCTTATCCCAACAGTAGTACATAATGTTGTATAGCTCTCGCTTGCAGTGCTCGGGCCTGTCCAATCTGTAGCCTTCCTTGATTTTCCTCATGACCTGTTGAACCACATTAATTTTGTTGTGCTTAAATGTTCATGCAGAGATAGGCAGTAATCATTACTTTTCGTAATAGTATTGTGGTAATTACAAGGGGGCTACGCCCCCTGCGCGCTCCCCTCGCCATCCCCCACATGACCCCCATGACCTTAATCTGACCCTCGTCACCCTCATTCTGACCCTCGTTATTCCCCTCGTGAGCCTTATTTTCACCCTTCATTTCTGACCCTTAATTTTGGAGTCTTAATTTGAAACATCAAATTTTCATCATCAAAAGTCGATTTCTGTTTTTACAATATAGAGAGACATTGAGACCCTCATTTTGACCCTTCTGACACGTATTTAGACCCTTTATCTGACTCTTGTTACCCTTATTGGGGTCTCCAATCTGACCCTTGCGGCCCGTAATCTTGCGACCCTTCATCTGACTCACATAACCCTTAATCTGACCCTGGTGAGCATTATTCTTACCCTTATTCTGACCCTCATGACCTTTGTGACACTTATTTAGATCCGTAATCTGACCCTTGTTACCCTCATTCTGACCCTCATTATATCCCTCGTGACCCTTATTTTGACCCTTCATTCCTGGCCCTTAATTTTTTAATCTTAATTTCGAACATCAAATTTTCATCATCAAAAGTCGATTTTGTTTTTTACAATATAGAGAGACATTGAGATCATTTTGACCCTTGTGACACGTATTTAGACCCTTTATCTGACTCTTGTTATCCTTATTTGGGGCTTTAATCTGACACTTGTGGGCCTTATTTCCACCCTTATTCTGACCCTTAATTCCACCCCTTGAGACCATTAGTTTTTGACCCCCATGTCCCTTATTTGAATCCTTACTTTGACCTTTGTGACCTTTCATCTGATCCTTGTGACACTTATTTAGACCCTTAATCCCCTTGTTACCCTTATTTGGGCCTTTAATCTGACCCTTAATCTTGCGACTCTTAATCTGACCCACCTAATCCTTAATATAACCCTTGCGGGCTATTTTGTACCCTTATTCTGACCCTTATGGCCCTTATTCTGATCCGCATGACCCTTGTGACCCTTAATTTCGGAGTCTTAATTTCGAGTACCAAATTTTTGTCACCAGAAGTCGATTCGGATTTTTATAATATGGAGAGATTAATGAATAATGAGTTGTTAGAAGGTGAAAAATAAACTTTTCATTACTTGTGCGTAAAGTAAAATTTTACAGAAATTTTATAGAAAAACAGCGAATTTGATAGAAAATTCTATTGGGATTCTCTTAAAATTCTACAGAATTCGCGTTAAAATTCTATTTGTCTTTTGGCCTGATTCTATGAGACATTTGATAGGAAAAAGTCAATAGATTTCGATTTTTCTGTGTGAATTTTTCTCTTGAGATTTTTTCTATTAAAATTATTGGGTACGAATTGCTTGCAGATATTCCTCTAGTTTTGTCATGTATGAAATGTTTTCTTTGAATAGAATTTTTGTCCGAGTTTTTTGTGAAGAAAATTTACCTCTGCGGCTGCCATTCCGGGGTACGGTGTTGATCCCAATGTGACTATCTCCCATATCAACACACCAAAACTCCAAATATCAGATTTGACGGAGAATATGTTATCGTACAAACTCTCAGGTGCCATCCACCTGATGGGTAAACGACCCTCTGACTTCCTCTCATAAATCTGATTAGCAGCTACGTCTCTGGCGAAACCAAAGTCTGCGACTTTACAAGCACGATTGTCATCTATCAAGACATTTCGGGCTGCTAGGTCTCGGTGGATTATTCCTTTTGATGCTAGATATTCCATACCTTTTGCAACCTGTCACAAAAAAATAAAACCATGACGAATTGATTACACGTTTTCGATTTATTTTGGGGGCGAGTTTTTTATGAGTATCTCCACATTTGCGGGAGACGGCCCGATTTCCCTTTTTTGTGTGGAGGTGATCCCATAAATGAATAATTTTAAATGCTTGCATTATGAACAACATTCCGCGTTATTCTATAGGCCTTTGTGCGTTCGATTTTGCAATTGTAGGGGTTAAAAAATTCTCCTTGTAAATTGACAGAAGACTTAGTGAATTCGATAGAAAATTCTGCTGGATTTCTGTTCAACTACGGAGCTTCACTAAGCGTATTTTTACAGGAACTGTCCTGTAGAAACTTTTATAGAAAAAAAAGAGAAGAATTTGATCATTTTCAGAATATTTCGTAATTTCATAATTCGATACAATTTTTCGATTGAGATATTTTCTATAGAAATTCCTCGACATTAATTTTCTATTTGTCTTCTATTTTCATTGAAAAAATCCAACAAAAAAACTACAAAAATTTAATCCAATGGATGTCTATAGAAAATATCTCAATGCAATGAAGAAGAATAGAATAAATACGTCAATTGAATTCTTCTTTAGAACATTTTTCATTAGATATTTCAATTGAAAAATTTTTTGAATACAATAGGCCCGGTTGGACCAGCTCCGGGTAACAAAAACGTCAGATAAGAAAAAAGTAAATTTGGATGTTCGATGGATTATTTTACCCGGGAGAGTATCTCAAATTTATACCAGGAACAAAAAGTTAAATTTAATCTCAAGGTTAAATCAGTGTTAATTCAAATTCAAATAAATTTTACCCTGCGGTTTATTTGGATAACAGGGCTTGGTGCAACCGGGCCAAAAACTGATAGAAAATTCAATACAAATTCAGTAGAATTTTCTGATGAATTCACTAGGTTTTTCTATAAGCTTTTTTCGTATTTGTCGATAATTTTTCAAGTGGACATGCCAGCCATAAATATCTTATTACAATCATTTTCGAAATGAGTTTATATACAAATTTGTGAAAAAATAATAGTTGTTTGGTTTTTTTTTTCTTTAGAATGATTTCCAGATTTCCTCACCTGATACACAAAACCAGTCAAGTCCCTGGATGTCAGCCCAGGACCCCCATGATTCCTCTCCTCCCTCGATGCTCTTAGAAAACTCTGCAGCTTCCCCCCACTCACATACTCCAGAATAACAAAAATTGGTTCACGCTCTGTACAACATCCAATCAGTCTCACGACATTTGGATGGGGTTCCAGACTCTTCATGACTTTCAACTCTTGTGTAAGATCGAGATGTTCACGTTCTGTTGCATTTTCTTTGAGGGTTTTTACAGCGACGATTGTTGGCCCTGGTTTACCATCGATATCTATTGCTTCACTTTTCCACACTTGACCGAAACACCCTTCACCAAGAATACTGAAGACCTGAAAATTATATAATTTTTTTTATATGAAATGAAAACGATTTCTTTTCTTCTCATTTTTTCGATTTATTCTAATTATCGAGTGATTTTATGCATTTTCTTCTTTTTTTTCAAGATCAACTTTAACAAAAACACTATTCTATTAGAATTCTATTGAAATATTCTATTTGTTTTTTCCACCAATTCAGTTGAAGATTATTCAATGTATTTCAGGGATGGCCATCAATATTAAATGTCAATATTAAAAGGATTTGTTACTTACATTAATAAAGGTTTAAATATACTCATCAAAATTTAATAATAGTATAATATTGATAATTTAAATTTCTGATTAATGAGGAATTAAATATTTGATAATATGGAACTGTCAATTTTCCATTAAGTAAATAATTCCAATTTCTTAAAAGGGATTATCGATTGATCGAATAATCGGCAATCTTCCTACCTAAATGATTGATTAATAGAGTAGTTAAAAAAATTTGAATATTTAAATCGATAGCTACTTATTAAATAATTAAAAGTTTAAAAGTGATCTGAAATGAACGACAGCGTCAAAATTTAACGCCGTAATTATCATTTATGAATAAGACTATTCCTGATGTATTTCCGCGTTTTTAAATAGGCATTGGTTTACAGAAAGATGTCTATAGATCTTAATTTTTTTTAAAGAACTTATTCCGTAGAAATTTTTTCTCTAAGAATTCTTGGGCATGATCTTTCCTATTTTATTTTCTTGGATTTTATTATGAGAAACAAATGAAAAACAACGGAAAAAACTTACAAAATTTGCGCCCAAGAATTTCTATAGAAAAATAACAATCTATTGACTTTTTTCTATCAAATATCTGTTAACAAAATGACACGGTGAAGTTGTAAATCTCCTACAGACATGGCGCAAAAAATAAATGGATTTTTTAGTAGAATTCTGATAAAACATGAAGTGAATTCTTATGGAGTTCCAATAGAAATTCAATAAAATTTCGTAGAGAAAACGCTAGGTTTTTCTATTAATTATTTTCACGCGTGAAAAAATCGAAAATCAAACTATAAATGTCTTCCTTCGGCATTAAATACTTCGCAAAGGAATAGGTTTTAAGCAGATGAAAACGTTTCTGTTTTTATTGAAAAATGTTGACAATTTCAAAACAACTTTTTACCTTCAGCCTGTGTCTTGGGAATTCCCATGAATCATCCAGCTGTTTTTTATCCGATATGTGATCTTTATCGAAATCCTTGAGCTTATTGTTCCGAAACTTCGGACTCTGCCAGTGTTTCAGAACCAATGATGGATCATCGGAAATTGTAGAAACACGAACTGTTTGCTCCTTCTGCGAAAGAAAAACGTCAAGTTAAATTGAGTCATAAAAAATCCAAAACTTAAATTTGATGGATCACGCATGAAAAAATTCAACAGAAAACCCAGCGAATTCGCTAGAAAATTCTATTGGAAATCTATATGAATTCTATGGGGTTTCTATAGGATTTCTATTGAAATTTTATTGAAATTGAATTCCAATAGAATTTTATTGAATTGAATTCCAATAAAAATCCTATAGAAACCCCATAGAATTCCCGTAGAATTGCAACAGAATTGTCTAGCGAATTCGCTAGGTTTTCTATGGAATTTTTGCATGTGTGATTACAAAGCTTCCATTCGGAACAAATGAATTAATGTATTTTAGACTTACAGTATCTTCCTTCGTCTTCGGCGATCCGCAGACCTTCCCCCTGAGCGTCCAAATGCCGGTACCAACGCTCAATAATAGGGCACAACCAGCAATAACTGGCACCAGAGTCATCGCGAAGTCCTGAGTAGCTGGGCTCTCTTTCGATGACACTTTAGCACCGATGACCGCTGTCTCTCGCCCAATTTCATTGTGCGTGAGCTCGTGAATCGGTGCTCGCACTGGTGGAACTGTTACCGAAATTGCCTTGTGATCGTCCACGGAGTGGCTTGTCTCTGGGCGGAGTTTTGTTGTTTTCTCATCACTTCTGAAGCCAGTGGACATTTCAGATGGGATCGGACGCGGTACGTGGATATTCGGTAGACCCATTATGGGTGGGCGAATGCGACCTGGTAGCCTATGTGAAAACGATAATATGAGAATTCAGTAGAAACAAAAATATATGAGGTATTCCACGCCAAATGAGTCAACCGCGGACCCTTACCCTTTTGGAAATCGATGGCGATTTTTTCTACGATTCGGGGGGTTGGAAAACTATCTCTCAAATTTTTTCAGATTTTTTCGGCAGCCCAGTTCCGAGATATGATTTTTTTTACATTTTTCCGTTTTTTCCAATAACTCGAGGTCTACTTGCCCGATTTTGATTTATTAAGCGTCAAAATTTTCCATGTTTTACCGCCTACACGAGTATTTCCAGTAATTTTTTTTTCGATTCCTAGATGCTCATAATAACACATTTTCGAAAAAAAAAGTTGAAAAATCTGTATTTTGTAAATTAAGTCACTTTTGATTTGTTTAATTTTTTTCAGTAATTCTTATAATCAAAACAAGTATTTTGAGCCGTCACTTGAGTTGGGCATCCTCGTGGATCTATTTTATTTTTAATTTTTTCTTTTCGGAATTTCGAAAATTTGGTCAAAACACCCCAAAACGACTGATTATGTATCGAACAAATATGTAATATATAAGTATACTGTCAAATTCACATCATACTATCTATAATCAAAGTCAATCAACGCCATTTTGGGGTGCTCTGACCAAATTTGCGGAATTTCGAAAAGAAAAAATTGAAAATAAAATACATCCAGGATGATCCCCAACTTGTATGACAGCTCAAAATACTTGTTCTGATTATAAGAATTACTGAAAAAAATGAAACAAATCAAAAGTGACATAATTTACAAAATTCAACTTTTTCAAATTTTTTTTCGAAAATTCATTATTATGAGCATCTAAAGATTAAAAAAAAAATTCACAAAAATATTCTTATAGGCAATAAAAAATGAAAAAATTTGACGCTTAATAAATCAAAATCGGATGGATAGAACTCGAGTTATTGAAGAAAACGGAAAACGAGAAAAAAATCATGTGTCCAAACTGGGGTGCCGAAAAAATCAGAAAACATTTTAGAGATCGTTTTTCAACCCCCTCCCCCCCCCCCAATCGTAGAAAAAATCGTCATCAACTTCCAAGAGGGTGAGGGTCAACGGTGACTTATTTGGCGTGGAATACCTCATATATAAATCGCTGATAAAGGAGAATTAACTTTTTATGGACAGTTTAGTAGTAATTTTGAGAGCGACATTAAATTTAATTTAGGGGAGGGCGATAAAATTAAAAAATTTTGAATGTTCAGTTTCGCTCAATTTCCATTTTTTTTAAATTGTTATTTTACATCGCTTCGACTCGGTTATACTGCGATGATGATCAAGACTTTAAATGGTACGATCGCACCATTCTACCCGGCCGGGATTTGAACTCGGAACCTTTCGCATGTGAGACAACGAACTTACCCACTGCGCCAAGCCACCGGGTAATCTCAATTTGCAATGAATTAAAAATTAGGGATAGCCAAGTACTTTGGCTATTTTTTCCCCAGAAAAAATTATAATGTTCTTCTATGATAAACAGGTCAACTTCTGGTTATTTCATCTTTCAATAATATTACTTGTGTATAATCATGCGATCAATTTCTTTTTCTATTGATCGACATTTTTGTAAATAAAAAAATATGGCCCATTCGTCCAGAAATTAGGGGTTTCGACTGCATTCAACTTTTTCTTAATTCAATTATTCTTTGTTTTGTTGTTTCGACTTCAACTAATTTTTTAATGCTAATTCAAATATTCTTAACGGTATGGAACCCATCATATCCCCATTTAGGTGATTCTTTTATTTTAGATTCTACCGCGAAACTCGAATTTCCCTTAACCGTCCAGCAATTGGCCCGTTCACTCTACTTTTGTAGTTGAACATCAGAGATTTCCCTTCACAATGATTTTATTATTTAAACTTTCCAGCTAATTCAATTTTTTTCAATAGCTGAGAAATATTATAAAGATTATCTAGCGGAGAGTGGGGCGAATTTTTTTAATCAACTTTTCCTAATTAACTTTATTCATTATTGGGAGTACTAATGAGAACAATAATATTCCATTCAGTAGAATGGAATATTAGTGAGAAGTTTTGACGGGGGAAGATTTTCTCAATGGATTAATTCAAAAGAAAATGAAACAGCAAAATTTAAAGTCCAGTGGAAGGGCCAGGGGAAGACCCAGAGGGAGAAAAAGGAAAATGTGATGCTGAATTTCAATCGAATGAAAAAAGAAAAGTGTAATCGCCCTAATCTAATCAATTGAATTATAGATGAAATATTTCATATTACTTGAAAAGAGAACTGTGGAATGAATGAATGAATGATTTATTTCCTTTTGTATGGCATTACACATTTTACAATAGAATGACAGTTTCCCTTGATTGTGCACTCGTTATAAGATAATACATTGGACCGATCTAGTTGAAGGTGCACGGGTGCACTAGCTCATTGATAATGAAAATAACAAGAATAAACACTTTAATAATCAACTCGATAGTCACAGAGAACTGGCTAAAATTAGTGAAAATGATTAATATTGTCGTCTCGATATAAGAAATATGGGAAAAACCTTCGGGAGTTTCGACTGAGGAGAGAACAGAGACTCGGCGATGACGAGATCTTACTTTGGCTGCTGGAGAGTCAGGGGACAAGCTGACTAGCGGACGTTGAGATCGAGATCGAGAAAAAAAGGTTGATAAAAATTTTTTTTTGTTTGAATTGCGTCAAATAGTCGTTTTGACTTTTTCCTTTTTTCCCCACTCCCCCATCAAAAACGTGGGGACATTCCTGAGAAAAACCTGTTTTCTAGGGAAATACCTTAACTGCCTTTAGTGACATGTCGATCAACTAGATTATGAAACGTATCGTTCTTACCCGACATTCGGTGCTGACGAATCTTTGATATTAACGTAAACCTCTGTCTTGGCAGTCAATTGGCCGTCAGAGACGGTGACATAGAGAAATAAATTCTGTCCTCCCTAAACATAAGAAACAATGAGTTAGCCTTTATTTCGCTTCCGGCCTCGATAACATGATTGAAACCTTTAATAGAAAATCCTCGCGCGTTCAATAGAGAATTCCATTCATAATTCTACCAGTTCTTCGCCAATTTCTATTAAATATTCTGCAGTCTCCTGTGCATTTTTTTTTCATTAAAAAAAGTGTATTGAATGGAAGATAAATCAGCAAATTCTGTCTATGGAAATTTCTTAGCATTAGTTCCATCAGTTTTCTTCTTCACTCCTTAAAAAATTCAAGAGAGAGGAAATTTTAATACCACCAATTGAGGATATTCAACTACTTTGGCTATTTTTTCTCCAGTGAAAATGTTTGTCTACTTTTGTAGTCTAACATCAGAGCTTTTATTTGAGCCTTCAACTTCTCGGATATTTTACAATGATTTCATTATTTAAACTTTACGCGTCTGACTTTGAATCTCGATATTGAACCGTTAGACATTTTAAAAATCTGAAAAAAATTGAAATGTTTGAAAATTATAACCATTTTTTATAAATAATTTATTATCAATCAATTTTCCACCATAAAAATTATTTGTTCGGAATCATAACAAATTTCTTCATATTCAGAATTTTACCAGAAATCGATTTTATGCTTAAAAAAATAAGGTTTCCAAAATTTTAAACAATTACAATTATTTATTTATAAACAATGAATGTTGAAAAAATAATTCTGTGCAAAATGTAATTTGAATGACTGAACATTTGACTGAATATTCATGATTTTTTTCACAGTTTTCTCACGTAATTCAATTGATAAATTTAATGGTTGAAAATGGTTGAATCTACAGTGTGGTCTGTACCCATTGACCAGTTTTCAATCAATATCTCAGAATCTAAGGGAGATAGAAATTTTTTTGTCATAACCTTTTTTGTGGAGCCGATTGAGTGCTACAACAAATGTATTTATGAAAATGTCGCTATCTCCCTTAGATTTGGAAATATTACTCAAAAACTCAACTGGCAGATAAGTCGACTTATCTCCGTTTACCACTTCACTACTGAATTAAAGTCTGCAGATTTTTTCTCGAATGCTATTTTTCTATTTAATAAAATCTCGAAAAAATTGGATTAAAATAAATAAATTACATCAATAAATTAATGAATAAATAGAGAACAACGGGAAAGTCATTGACCAAAGGATGCGCTAGGATTTTCCATTGAATTAGTTCCACACATGAACCCGAGAAATTTTGATTCCTGGACTTACCCTCCCCTTCAATGTCTCATTGATGAAAATCGTCCCAGTCTCGTTGTTAATGGAGAAGGGCAGTGGGGCCTGAGGACCACTGTCTCCATTGTAGTTGTGATTGACCTGTTCTAGACCATAAGTCAACTCTCCCTGTTCATTGTCCTCAGCCCGCACTCTCTCTACAATGCTACCAACAGGTTCTGTATCATCTAGCACCCAATTTCTATCCAAGTACATTATGGGGGGAGTATTCTCGCTGAACTGGCCATCTGTAATTGAAAAAAGCGAAGTACGATGAGTTCTAAGATCGGCAGATATATATATCTTCTTGAAATTCATAACGGGCGATTTTGAATGCGGATCAACGATTTCAGTTTACAACAATGACCACAAATATTCGAAATTTACACGGAGAAAAAATTTGGCAAAAAATTACTAAACAAGTCCAGCAATAGTGGAGCAAAATTCATTTCTAGATTACTTGCTTGCGAACAGGGATAGCCAAATTTGTAATATTTTATTACGGTTAATATTGTAGCCCTTAATTAGATAACATCACTCTTGAAATTTTTTGAGTCCTTAAGTATCATCAATTCAAATATTCAAATTTTCAGCTATTTTATCAATCAATAATTTGAGGTAGGTTATTCCTCTTTCAAGAAATTTGAATTATTAATTTAGCAGTGAATTTACAGTTTCATAGTAACAAATTTTAAATATATCATTATTCGGAAAAAATCAGATTATTAATATTATATTATTTGAAAAATTGCATCAACATATTTTAAACCTTCAATAATGTAAGGGTCAAATACTTGGGACACCTGCTTGCGAATGGAAGCGTTGTATTCGTTAAATCCGAAATTTCCTATTTTTTGTGTCAGAACGACTAATTGTGGCCTCAGAAGTTCAAACAGTTCATTTCTGGCAATTTTAAACTTCCAATTTATTTTTCAAATTCAATAGGTATATTTCATTTTTTTTTCAATTCTATAAAAACTTTTGGGATTGCAACCATATGGCCTATTTCATCGTAATTTTTTTAAAAATTCTGTGTTGTAAAGGAAATGAAACGGCCACGGTTATGGAACATTCAGCCGGAAATCCTGCCCCCCACCAAATTTTCCTCTACTTCTCTCCGGGGAAATTTTCTATTTTTGAACAGGAACTAGGGATAAGCTTTGGATAAGCATCGACTCCATTTTATAGACAATGCATTACATTATATAAAAGGCTGGAAAGTTTACATACATTGTAATTGATGAACTCCATGAGCACAAGAAAACAAATTTGACTGCTTGACCGTTAGAATATTCAATATCAATATTTATTATTTGTAGCATTCATTCATTTTGAAGAGTAATTCTTTGCGAACATAATATGAATGTCGCTGATTATCCACGAATTTGCAGTTGAAAATCTCCGAATCAATAATGCAGTGTTCGGAAAAAATTGAAATTTCTCCGACAGTTTAATGATAATTTTCCGAAGAGCGACATGGAATTTCAAATTGTTAATTTACTTAAATTTTCAGTCAAAAGTTGAATATTCACTGCTAAAAAATTAATTCATTGACCTGTTGTGTTTGAGAATTTTTCAAAAATTAAAATCAACTTAGAAAATTACATTTTGCTTTCGAACGGAATATTCTAGAGAATCGTGCGAATACAACGCATCGATTTCACAACTCCAAACACGGATCCATGGAATCTAGTGATGCCGCGAGAGACTTTACGGAACAATACTTTGGAGAGATAAGATGGTCTCGGTCTCAATGATCATGCAGGCGTTCTATTGAATGCCTAATATTAGAGTGACAGTAGAAATTCAATAGAATTCAATTCTATTTGGTAGAAAAAATTCAATAAATTTTGGTTATTCTTTAGAAATTGTTGGGCACAAATTGTCTCAATGTTTTCTGCTGTATTGTTATTTTTTCCATAATAAAATTCAAGAAAAAAATCGGAAAATTCATATCCAAGGATTCTGTGGAAAAAAATCCCAACAGAATGAGTTATATAGAAAAATCAACGACTACAGACGTTTTTATACAAAAATATCTATTTAAAAAAGCACGGAAGAGTTGCATAATTCACACAAAAAGACAAATAGACTTTCTCAATAGAATTCTTACAGAACTCCAATGGAATTCCTATAAAATTCCAACAGAAATGCAATAGAATTTCTCGATTAAAAGTCCAGGTTTTTCTCTTAAATTGTTTCACGCATGATCAGTTCAAGGAGTTGAGCATAAATTTCCAAAAATTAATTAATTTATTTATTTTTTTGGCTCCATTGTGAGAGTAGGTTTTTCTCATTTCCTCCGGCGGAGGGGAGAGGGGCATCGATGGGTCGGATATCAGCAGCATTATAGTCCGCCTCAAAGAACCCAGGGAGAAAGTGGGACGATGAAAGTGCGACCAAATGGCTGAGATATACCGGGGCTAGACGTCTTGACGCAATTTTTCATCGTTTCGGTTTTTCACCGGGGCAACTCTTTCGAAGAATCAATCTGCAATAGATTATTATTTCTATTCGCGATAGTATATGTCGCTGAATGAGAGTTTCTATGCAAATTATCCTGCATGGACCTTTCACTAGCCAGAGCTGTACTTTTTTACGAGGGAATTTTTATATTCGATTGAATGTGTGTACGGAGCTATTTAATTTCGCTGTTGAAAATTTTGATTTTTCATTCTATTCGAAAGAGTTTTTTTTATTGAAAATTCACAATTGAATAAAAAAAAAATATGGAAACTGTTGGTTTTGATTCAAGTATTTCATGAAAATTGACAGAAATAAGGAAAGTTCAGATAAATATAGTGTTCAATTTTCAATTAATCGGAATTCAGCGTGATTTAATACTGAATATTCATTCTTTGACCGAAAATTAGTAGAACCTGAAAGGATCTTTCATTGAGAAATTCTATTCATTTTTTGCGCGAATTCTATGAAGAGTTAGTATATGCGACTACCGTACGTTTTTAAAAACATATTTTTCTATAAAAAAAGTGCGTAGATGTTGATTTTTTTATATAAATCATTCTGTTGTGATCTTCCCTCAAAGCATCCTTGAGCATGGTCTCTCCATTTTCTTCTTGAAGTTTATTGTGGGAAAAAAATGCAAAAGAAAAAAATTGGAAAATTTGTGCCCAAGAATTTCTAAAGCAAAATTAAAATCTATTGTATTATTTTTGTGAAAGATCTCCTGATAAAATGTGACGATAAGGTTGTTTCAATGAATTATTGAATTCAATTTAAAATCCATCGTGATAGAAATTCCATTCATGAAATTTCTATTTCTTTCAAACAGATTTTCCAATAGAAATTTGGAAATACATGTGAAAATTCAATTGGTTTTCGTCGTTTTTTGTATAGAAAAATTTAATTTTATCAATTTTTTACGATAACTCAGCGTCGTACAGCCAAAGGGGCGTAAAAGTCATGCTTATACACACCCTTTAGGCCCCTTTGGCTTACGACGACGACATATTTTCTACTGAATATTCATATTCATTAATAATTGTGTGGGAAACCGCGGAATGTTTTGATAGAATCACCGAAATACCAATAACATTTCATCAGATTTTCCTAGCGAAGGCGCCAGGTATTTCTATCAATTTTTTTCAATGCGTAAAACCTTTCTCTCTAATGATCGTCGAGTTGAAAAGTGAACGAAAGGGATTCGAAGAATATATGTTTGTATTTTTTGCGTCATGTTCTGAGTGTTAAGAAATCAGTTGACGTCACTGGATACAGGAACAAGTTCTCAAATATTTCTACAAGGTCGACTGGGCAATACAGTGGGATGAAGACGACTTCAGGAATGTGCGGACGTTTTTATGTAACTCGATCAAAACAAATAGAAATTTTAAGAATTTGGAGGGGAACAATTCCGTTTTATGAGTGTTTTAAAAAAGTGAAATTTCAGAGATAGTTGATCAGTAATTTTCAATGGTTCGTCTTTTCACATATGAAAAATTTCATAGGAAAACCTAACGCAGTCGTTACATCATTCTATTGAATTTCTGTTGAACTTTCTATTAGTTTCTGACTGATTTTACTGAAATGTTCAATCAAATATATTTCATAGAATGAGATTTTTCTATACCACTTTTTAAAATTTATTATTATTATTATTTATTTATTTATTTCGAGAAAGACAGCATAGCTGGTACAAATCTCATACAAAGTGAGTAACGTGAAATATAAGTTGCTGCGTACAAAAGTTGGCATAAACTTTCAATGAGAATAACAGGTACTGTATGCATACATCTCAAATTATTTGTTATTTCCTGCGATCCCCTGGCAGGCACCCCCCAGGGATGAGCCTCTCTAGACACCAGAAGAACCCTATCGGTTCTCTGGAATAATAGAATAGAATAGAATATGCGCGGCTGGTCACTTAAAGCGCCCAGAGTCACCTAAATCATACGATCTTTTGTAACATTTCTGGAATAATAACTAAAGCAGGGAGAGAAACAACAAAGAGGAAGACAAAGAAATGGGATAAACCCCTTGACTCAGGACCAATTTCTTCGGCTCAAATTTTCTACCTTTTTTTTTGTATGAGTTGTTTGGCGAAAAAAATCAGTAGTGAAGTGGTAAAACGGTACAAGTCAATTTTGACTGTTGACCAGTTCTCAATGAATATCTCGGAACCTAAGGGAGATAGCAAAATTTTTGTTAGAACCTTTTTTGTGGAGCCGATTGAGTGCTACAACAAATGTCATTATGAAAATTTCGCCATCTCCCTTAGATTCGGAAATATTCCTCAAAAACTCAACTGGGAGATAAGTTGACCTAAACCGTTTTATCACTTCGCTACTGAAATGGAAAACACTATGAAGAAAACTTGGAAAATTTGAGCCGAGGAAATTCTATAGAAAATATTTCAATAGAATATGTTGTATAGAAAAATCGAATTCTACACGGAGAGAAGTTAGAAAAAAATTAGCGAACAAGTAAAGTAATCGTGGAGCGAAATTGCTTTTCAGTGCTTTTTCACGGTATATCCTATCGTAAAAAGTAGAAAGGAAATCGATCTCGATATATCTCGAAAATCTCGAATCACTGTTACCGTAAGACAGAAACCGAAGCGCCACTACGTGGGGAGATGAGAAGGCGCATGCGTAGCACGCGCGGCCAATCTCGTAGGGGAAAAAGAGTGAGACAAATAGTGAATTTTTCTTTGTTGGCCCGGGAAAATTTACTGAATGCGAGGGTATTTGTGCCGAAGCAGTAAAATTTACACTGCATTCCACCGAAAATTATCCCAATGAACGTGAATGATTGGGAAATATCATGTATGACCAGATTCAATAGAAAACTTTAGCGGATTCACTAGAAATTTCTATTGGAATTCTCTATAAATTCTATGGGGATTCTATTAAAATTCTAGGGAATCTCGTTAAAATTCTATTTGTTTTTTGCGCAGACTCTATTAGACATTTGATAGGAAAAAGTCAATAGATTTCGGTTTTTCTGTTTGAATTTTTTTCTTGATTTTTTCTATTAAAATTATTGGGCATGGATTTTCAAAGTTTTTTCCCTATTATATTTGCTATATTTGGTCTTGTTTACATTATAGGATGCGAGTGAAAAAACTTGGAAAATTCATGCCCATGTATTCTTATAGAAAAAATTCGAAGAGAATAATCATATAGAAAAATCGAAATCCGCTGACTTTTTTGTATCAAATATTTCATAGAATCAGCCGAAAAAACAAATAAAATTCTAACGAGAATTCCCTAGGATTTTAGTAAAATCCCTAGATAAAATTGCTAGAGAATTCCAGTAGAGGTTCCTGGGGAATTCGTTAAGTTTAGGCGAAAAATGGTTACGAAATTTCAAATTTTAGGTAGAATTCAAGGAAATTTATGAGTTTTCATTCGCAGTGAGGCGGAAATTTCACAGCTGTGCATTTTCCCTGAATTTTCCTGCTTTTTCGAAATTTTCATGGAATAATTGAACTGAAAAGTCAAGTATTTTATTGATTTTTATTAAGTTTTATTGATTATTATTGATTTAATGGTAAGTTTTCCTGAAAATTCAGTGAAAATTAAACACGATAAAAATTTCCGGGATTTAACATGCAAAATTCAGACGAAAATTTTTAACAATGTATTCTTAGGCATTTCAATTCGAAATTAGGAAATGGACAAAAATCACAATTGCATAGTTTCCATTCGGAAACGCAAAAAGGAAAAAGTGTCAACTTTCAACTCGTGATTCCCCAGCACAACTCCCCCCATTCACCAGTTGAGAATCATAAAATTAAAAACAGATATTCCCAGTCGTTCTCTCCATTTCAAAGGGAAACACACGCCCTCCCGATGACGTCCACAGGTTCCCCAGCACCGAAAAACTTTCACTTTACTCCCCACCCAAATACATTTTTTTCGGTATTCCCCGCTCTCCCCCGTCCCACCCGCTCCATCACTTTCTGTATTAATGCGTCTCCGACCTCCGGGTTCTCTGGACCAAAGGCCTCGGGCAGTAATTGCCTCTCATTGCCGACAATTCTCGGAAAATAAAAGGACTATCTCATTTTTTTTTTTCCCCCCACAGGAAATAACGATTCTCCTCTTCAATCGCTCAAAACCTCGTCTCTTTTTTCTTCCGCGACTAGACTTATTTCATGGAAACAGCTCGTACACACGTGAGATCGACGTGGATTTATATTGTTAAGTTCTTGTCGAGTGTCTGGTGACCCGATTATCCCATGCGCATCAACTCGCGAGAATTCTTGGCTGCTATTGCTGCTGCACCATCAAGTTCACCTCGTCTCGAATCAATGTCGCCATTGAATTGGAACTAAAATTTATTCTCAATAACCGGGATGTGTTTATTAACTCGATAACGGATACATCGAACCAGCTTGATGACCACCGGGCAAAATGGAACATCAGTTTAAATTCCTGCACTGAGAGAAAAACAAACAAGTTCTCGTACAAATCTTGTTTCGGCCAACAAAATCGCCAGTTGAAAATTCCTAAAAAGAAATTGTTTCATTCGAATTTGAGAGTCTCAAACATGAATACATTGAGAAAAAAATTTCTAATATCTGAAACATATTTTCTTGAGACAAGTAATTTTTCTTCAACTGTCAAATTCTCCGAGGCTTCTCAACTTACGGGGTCCGAGAAAGGTCTCATGCTTTAAAATAGCTCGACGCTTACGGTAAATTCAAAAATTATTAAAAACCGCCAAAAAATTGCAGAAAACTCGATTACATTCGGAATTCTATTTTTTTTTTCAATTTAATTATCGTTTTGGTTTTTCAAAGACGAAATGTTTAAAAATCAGGATTTAATCCAGTGTCTTATGTGAAAATCAACATTTCCATTGTAATCAAAAATTATAATCTGATTTTTTTTCATTAGATGTGAAAAAATCAAGAATGTTTTTGACACCTCATAAAAAATAATCCACCGTTTTGCAAACAAGTTTTATTATTTATTTATAAGAGGGAAATGTTTGAAAAAATATCAATATTTTGCGAAATTTAATTTAGATAATACTGACTGGGTATGAATTTTTTCAAATTTTTTCCATGCAATTCAGTTGAAAAATTAAAAAACTGAAAATATTCAAACGTACAGCGCAGCCCAACCGAAGGGTAGAGCTACTTTAAAATATTCTTGTACTCAAGTATTATTTTGTCGCAAATGAACTTACTCAAATCGCATTGAAGAACCGTCAATCTTCGAGTATTTATCGTTTTCATGATTTTTTTTTATGCAGTTCTAATATGTCGATATGTAGTATATTCATTATATAAAGCGCAACGATAGTGATGGATGAGAATTTATTCGAGTTCCATGAGGCGTAAATATTCTGAGATTTACGCAATTCAAAATAATTTACTTCTCTCAAGTAAATATGGTCTACAATTAGGAATTTTTTCTCTCGGTGTAATTGTTGTGCTTTGGACTACAACGAAATATTTGGCCAAGAGGCAGATGATTCACACGGGACGGTGCGAATCATCCAGAATTTGAGTTACTCTGACCCTTGGCACCCTTAATCTGACCCTCATGACCCTCATTCCGATTCTCATTATGCCCCTCGTGACCCTTAATTTCTGATCCTTAATTTTGGAGTTTTAATTTCGTGTACCAAATTTCCATCACCAGAAGTCAATTTGGATTTTCATAATATAGAGAGATATTTTGAACCTCGTGACCCTTAATCTGACCTTTGTGACCCTTATTTGGACCTTTATTGTGACTCTTAATCTAACCCTTGTGACCCTTAAGACCCTTATGAACCTCATGCCCCATAATCTGACCCTTGTGACCCTTATCCTGAGCCTTATGACGTTTTTCTCACCCTCACGATCATTATTTTGACCCCCGTACCCTTATTCTGACCCCCGTAATCTTTAATTTTGGAGTCTTAATTTAGTGTACCAAATTTTCAACCCCCAGTCGATTTGGATTTTTATAATATAGAAACATATCTCAATAGAATAAGTTATGCAGAATAATCAAATTCGCTAGGCTTTCCTATTAAATTTGTTCGTGCGTGAAGTGTTGCAGAAAAATAAAAATCTATCGATTCAACTTAATTAATTATTGCTTCGATATCAAACAAATTTTTCTTCTGAATCTATTATTTTTTTACATTATATTTTTCTATTGAACAAATTTAATTTCCCAAATAATGCATTAGGTTTTTACAACAAACTTCTTCGTAAATGTTCAATTTTTCGTAATCGTTGAACCCACTATAGTTTTAGAAGATTATTTTCAGCGATATTTCTTATTTTAGTTATTGAGATGTTTTCCAACGTGAAAAACAAGTTGGAAAAGTAAACTTTGTGCCATACAACACTATTTATCATGAAATATTTCTACTGACAAATGCCCTAATATTTCCAGAACAGATTTTTCGTTTGAATTAGTAAAAATCTTCAACGAGAAGTGATTTTTGGAGGCTCTATATTGTTCCATTAAATGTTTTCGCTCGTTAATTCATAATACCCATTAGTCATCGTTAATGATGATATCCCAATCCAAAATGTAAAGTATAAATAAACGAAGAACTACTTACGGATGCCTAGAATAAGACAAGACACCGTCACAACGACAATCCATCCTACGAACATTGCACTACATTTGTCGAATTGGAACGGTTTTTTAAAACTGTTTCCCCCACTGTTTCACTAATTAATTGGGTAAAAAAAACTGCTTCAATTATTTATTATACGGTTCAGTAATGTTCTAGCAGGTGACTTGGTCGTGCTCATTTTTTCACGTGTATTTTGTTCGCCTTTTTTCCACCGTTCTTTTAAGTCACTGTTGACTGGATCAAGTGAAAGCTCGCTCTGTGCTGAATGCCAAAGACCTGAACGTCTCGATTTTTAGAACGTTGAGCATTGCAAGTTCCTCGGGATTGTATCAATCACACCACAATTATTTTGCTGAATTATTTGGATTATAACGTCACCAATAAGTAATGAGCGGATCATTGCGACAGGTTCATTCACGTCTCGGGCGTTGAAATCTCCGAAGTTTTGGAGATTTCTGGGTTTGTGAACGCTTCAAAATTGTCATTCACATGATGGTTAATGGGTGCTTCGCGAATCACAAGTGGGAATAAATTTTTCGACGATTAAATCATCCTCTCGGAGGGGAAAATAAGTGATGTAAATTCACTGTGAAACGGTCACTGGGCAACTGGTGAACGACACTCCAGTCTCCAGTGGATTCTTCGGCAATCCTCGGCCTGGTCCCCACTACGGAGAACCGAAGGAGTACCTGTAGGTGCAGACAGCGCCGTCGGGAAGTACCATGGCTGACCGTGTCTGCCACCGCTCTGACTGCATTCACTTTCGGTTTGATCCGTTATTTTCCAGTTTTATGAGGCCAAGCTCCACTATTCATTTCGCGGTAATGATGATATCGTATCAAAGTTATTGTTGACAATTATGGAATTTTTTTTTTCATGTTTTTAAAGTCCTATTTAGGGTGAGGGGGGAGGGATTGATGATGCAAGTTGGAGAAGATAATAATGAATCTCTCAAAATTATGAAAATCCAAATCGACTTCTGGTGATAAAAATTTGGTACTCGAAATTAAGACTGCAAAATTAAGGGCCGCAAGGGTCAAGATAAAGGGCATGAGGGTCGGAATAGGGGTCACGAGGGTCAGAATAAGGGTCCTGAGGGTCAGAATAACGATCACAAGGATTAGAATTATGGTCACGAGGATCAGAATAAGGGTTACGAGGGTTAGAATAAGGTTCACAAGGGTCAGATTAAGAATCATGAGAGTTAGAGAGGCCCAAATAAGGGTCATAATATCTCAAAATTATAAAAATCCAAATCGATTTCTGGTGATGAAAATTTGGTACTCGAAATTAAGACTGCAAAATTAAGGGCCGCAAGGGTCAAAATAAAGGTCATGGGGGTCGGAATAGGGGTCACGAGGGTCAGAATAAGGGTCCTGAGGGTCAGAATAACGGTCACAAGGATTAGAATTACGGTCACGAGGATCAGAATAAGGGTCACGAGGGTTAAAGTAAGGTTCACAAAGGTCAGATTGAGGGTCATGAGAGTTAGAGGCCCAAATAAATAATGATGAATCTCTCAAAATTATGAAAATCCAAATCGATTTCTGGTGATAAAAATTTGGTACTCGAAATTAAGACTGCAAAATTAAAGGCCGCAAGGGTCGGAATAGGGGTCACAAGGGTTAGAGTAAGGATCACAAGGGTCAGATTAACGGTCATGAGAGTTAGAGAGGCCCAAATAAGGGTCACAATATCTCAAAATTATAAAAATCCAAATCGATTTCTGGTGATGAAAATTTGGTACTCGAAATTAAGACTGCAAAATTAAGGGCCGCAAGGGTCAAAATAAAGGTCATGAGGGTCGAAATAGGGGTCCTGAGAGTCAGAATAACGGTCACAAGGATTAGAATTACGGTCACGAGGATCAGAATAAGGGTTACGAGGGTTAGAATAAGGTTCACAAGGGTCAGATTAAGGATCATGAGAGTTAGAGAGACCCAAATAAATAATGATGAATGTCTCAAAATTATAAAAATCCAAATCGATTTCTAGTGATAAAAATTTGGTACTCGAAATTAAGATGGAGTCTTAACCCCTGTCTTAATTTTGGAGAAATTAAGGGCCGCAAGGGTCAAGATAAAGGTCATGAGGGTCGGAATAGGGACCACGAGGGTCAGAATAAGGATCCTGAGGGTCAGATGAAACGTCACAAGGGTCAGAATTGCGGTCAGGAGGGTCAGAATAAGGTCACGAGGGTTAGAGTAAGGGTCCCAAGGGTCAGATTAAGGGTCCACCGGATTGACAATTATGGATTTTTTTTTCATGGTTTGAAGATCCTATTTTCGGGGGGCGGGGAGGGGGTTGATCAGGCAAGCGGGAGAATATAGTAATTGAATATGAAATTATATTGTTTTTTTATGATATTTGGAGGGACGTCCAGAGGATATTTTTTATAGCTAAATAAATTTTCTGTGGCCTTTGTGGTTCAGCCCTTTTATCAAGATTATTCAATATTTAGGAGGTGAGATATTAAACATTGTTTTAAGAGGCAATGAAACTTACCATCGGTGTAACAATTGGATTCCAAGTTTATTCGCCCTCAGACGACTATTTAGCAAAACCCAAATTCTTACATCATCAATAATCTTGGTATCTGCAGTGTAAGAATGTGAATTTTGCCAAATAGTCGTCTGACGACGAATAAATTTGGGATCCAATTTTTGTATGGATTATATAATTTTTTATGTAACTTGGACGGCGGTTACCAACCGAGTAGAAAATTGCTATCCAATTTTTTATAGAGAATTCAGATGCAGCAGTGACTGAAATTTCAAGAAATTTCAAAGAGTGCGAGTGAACCCCACATATGTCGGGTCCCTCAAACTTTCCATATGCCCCTTACATTTTCAAAATGTGCGCGCAGTGCTCACCGCGCCGCCTCGTGTGAGCCCCACCAACCTCCAACATTCGATCCAAAAATAACAAAAAATACACATGTGCATGCGGAGGAAACCGTCGAGCACGTGTAGCCAGTTGTTTATAATCCCGCAAAACCCTCCAAATAAAATCGCCAACACCCCGTAAACTCGCGCCAGTGAGAGTGAACTCAACAATTAAAATCATCAAATGATAATTAAAACGTGTCAAGATGTGGCGTGGACCCGAGCCTGGAAGTGCAAGATGCGAGGTAACCTGGAAAAAGGTGAAAAACACCGTGTCCCAGCGAATGGAGGATGACTCCCTCATTCACCTCTTCACCGAAAAAAAAACATTGAAGAGACGCACGAAACTGCTGAACAGTCACCTGCGACAGCCCGCGAATCACACCATCTCCTACGCCAACTACATAAAAGCGAAAACAGCGATCCTGAGGACCTTCTCAGAGGACGAGGAGACGAGTGATTCGGACCTGAGTGACGATTTATCGAGACCTCATGATGAGTCCGCCAATCCGAGGAGTTCAGCCCTTCAAACTCTCCTGAAGGACATGATGCTGGAGTCTCCAGACTCAGGTGATGAATTAGAACCGAGGAAAAAGGCTGTAGTGAAGAGGGGGCGGGGGAGACCCAGAGGCGGGTTGAGGAGTAATCCTAGGAGACGAAAAAATTCACGCACCAGTGGTTCAGAGTCTGAGTGGGAGAGAGCTCCAGTGGCTGTTGTCAAGAGACCCAGGGGACGGCCGAGGAAATATCCTTTGACTGGGAAAACTCCAGTGACGACAGCTAGGGGTGGGTCGTTGAGGTCTAGTAAAATTGGAGGGAAGTGTGGAGGTGTTGAGGGGAGGGATGACAATATTGGGGATGAATCAACAATTGCAGATTTTGAATCGTCCAGGAGAAAATCTGGATCCAGGAAAATTGTTGGGGAGGAGGATCTTAATGTTGATGAGGAGTTAGAGGATTTGGATTCTTCAAGGCTGATTCGAGAGAAGGATTTGAAGGGTCAGGATGGTAAATTCTCTGGGAGAAAATTGAGATCAAGGAGAGTTGATGAGGAGGAAGATTCAGATGATGATGAATCAGAGTTTAAGTGGGAGACAGCGCCAGTGACGAGAGCTAGTAGTGCGTCATTAAGGTCAAGTAAAATTGGAGGGAAGTGTCGTGATGGTGAGGGGAGGATTTCTAATGTCGGTGATGAATCAACAATAGCAGATGTTGAATCCTCCAGGAAAGATTCTAAATCCAGGAAAATTGTTGAGGAGAAGGATTTAAATGTTGATGAGGAATCAGAGGATTTAGATTCTTCGAGTCTGATTCGAGGGAAGGATTTGAAGGGTCAGGATGATAAACTCCCTGGGAGGAAACCGAGGTCAGGGACAGGTGTTGAGGAGGAAGATTTAAATGTTGATGTTGAATCCTCCAGGAGAAAATCTGAATCCAGGAAAATTGTTGAGGAGAGGGATTCAAATGTTGTTGAGGAATCAGAGGATTTGGATTCTTCGAGTTTTATTCAAGTGAAGGATCAAGATGATAAATTGCCTGGGAGAAAGTCGAAGTCAGGGACAGGGGTTGAGGAGAAAGATTCAGATGTTGATGATGAATCAGAGGCATCAGAACCTTCAACTTCGATGAAAGGAGATAAACCTGAAGTTCTTGAATATTCAACGAGACCTAGGCAAATTGTTAAAAAGAGAGATTCGAGTGGTGATGATGAATTAGAGAAACCAAAATCTTCAACTTTAAATCAAGAAAATAAATTCGTTGATGTGGATTTGCTGAGAAGAAGATTAATATCGAGAACAACTGATCAATCAAAGAACTTGAAGTCTTCATCTCCAGATGAACGAAGGAAATCTCAAGATGTTGAATATTCTGGGAGAGTATTAAGATCAAGGACAATCAGCAAGGATAACGATCCTTATCTTGACGATGAATCCAAAAATTTGGGGTCTCCAACTTCAACCGAGGGGAGAAAATCTCAATCTGATTTTTCCAGTAGAAAATTAAGATCAAGAACAATTAGCACGGAGAAACATTCAAATCCTGATGACGAACCAAAGATATCAGAGTCTCCAATTCAAGTTCCAGGGAAGAATCCTCAAGATGTGTCTGATCAATCGAAAAAATCGAAATCTCCAGCTTCTACTAAAGAAAATAAATCCCCTGTTGAATCTCCCAAGAAAACATCGAGAATAAGAATTCTCGAAGAAGGAAATTCAAATGTTGATGATAAATCAAATAAATTGAAATCCCCAACTGCATCTCAAGACGCTAAATTTCCTGAGAAAATCTCAGACTCAAGAACAATTTTTAAAGAAAGAGATTCAAATAATTCTGATAAATCTGAGAAACCAGAGTCTTCAATTCCAGAAATCGTGACAGTAATAATTAACGACCACCAGAAAAATTTAGCTTCACATCACCAAGAAACTCCTAATACAGTCTCAACGAAACCAACGAAACCCTCAGCAGTCAAGAAACCCAATTACTCCAACGACGTGAACACTCACATTTTCGAGAAAATATCAAGACTGATTTCCAGCGGAGTTGACCCTCACCTAGCAGCTGATGCCAGTAGAATATACTCAACAGACGGTTCGACGAATGGACAGGAGACACCAGGAGCCTACAGCACTGACGAAAGAGAATTCCTGACCCCTCAGACATCAGACTGCGAGGATTTGAGTGGCGAAGATGAGAAAAAACACTCGACACTTAAAAATCCTGAGGAAAATCCCCTGGAGTCTGCAGTAAACGTCTCTGGAGAGGACTCCATGGACAATGACGACATGTTTGAGGAAGAGAAGATGATTACCCAGTCGCAAATGAGCATTGCTGATGCATCTAGTCACTTTGAGAGTCAGAATGATCATAAAGATGAAGTAGAGCGTGAGATTGCCCCCAAAAAATCCCCAAAGTCTCCAGCAAAAAATTCCCTCGTGTGTCAGGATGATTTTTTGCAGGAGGAGAAGCATCTTGGTGACACTGAGACGAATATAGAGGACTCAAAATCAGAAATATTGAATGACGAGAAGGAGAAAAGTGATTGTGTGGACACAAACTCAATGGAAATCCCATTCACCCAAGAATTCGATGCCAAGGAGGATGAAACCATCAAAAACATTGAAGAATACGTCGAGAATGTTGTGAAAGAGTTCGACGAGAAATTCCCTGTGAAAACAAGTCCTCCAACAAATGAAAACCCAGCTTCATTCGAAGAATCGAGGGCCCCAGGAAAGCCCATCGAAAAAAGAGAAGAATTGAATAATGCAATTTCGAGAGACTCGATTAAATCCACTGGGAAGGCATCACTTCCCTCAGGATCAGCTAGAAAAATCGTCAGGAGTCCCAAAACCCCTGAAGACGTGAAGAGGAATCTCATGGAGACACTGGACAGAATCTCCAACGAGTCATCACCTGGAATTATTAAAAATCCTGAGAACAATTCCAATTCCTTTCAGAAGAAAATCAGCACTCCTGACCCACCACTTTCAAGCCTAGATGGAGAAGACTCTCGACCTGATGACGAGTTCTCAGTGGCTCCAGCTGATTCTGGGATCGATGAGGAGTCCCAAAACGTCTCCCCCCACGAATACCGAATTTTCAAGGAAGAGGGACTCAATAAATCTAGGGAAAACACTGTGAGTTGCTCTGCATCGAAGAGTGCAACAGATAAAATATTCCAAGAGGAGCAGCTGACTGAAACTCAGCAGAAAATCGAAACCTCTCCATCGAAGAAGGTAGCGAACTTGAAGATCACGTGTACAGAGTTGCTAAAGTCTAAATATCTGATCGTAAAGAATCGAAAGGATGGGGATGAGGAGAAACTGATGTCTTCTGAGGCATCTCCAACAGCTCCAGGGAAGGTGGGGCCCAGGTCTGAAGCCCCAGATGCATTGGAAGAACCTCTGGATGAGTCTGAAGATGATCAAGTCAGACTTCAGTGTCCAGGAACTTCAGATGAAGATGTTTACAATAATTTTTCGTCCTTTGGGGGTGAGCTGGACGGTTACAACTCTGATGGAGATGATTATGGGGCTTCAGACCCAGGATTTCCCTCTCGTCATGAAGAGGATGAGTGGGAGAGGTCCAGGAGGGAGGAACGAATGTCTCTGGCTGTGGCTAGTGAATCTGAATCATTAAAATATGTTTTGAATTCTCTCGTTGCTCGGGGGAATCAGAGGAATGGTTGGTGCGAGGAGGAAGGGGATCTTCTCCAGGAGGAACTGCTGGTGGGGAAGGGGCTGGAGACTGGGGGAGGGCTAGGGCCTCCAAGGGGAGGCGACAGGGTCCTGTCGAGACCCACGAGCATTCCTGAGTTCGTTGAAGGGTCTGATCTGGTGCCCTTCGAGGCCCTTCCATCGTTCACTCTGGGGGACATTGGGGAGGATGACGATATTTATCTCATGGAAATCCCCAAGTCGATACTGCAACGGGACTTGGGGGGCCAGAGGTTCAGGCTCGGGGAGGGGAAGATTTTTATTGGAGAGGGTCGCTACGAGGTTCAGAGGAAGGAGGCCGCGGCCATGTCCTGTATTCTGCATTGTGGAGACAAGAGAAATCGGTTCAAAACAGGTCTGTTGGCATTTTTTAATTGGGATGGTTTTGGGAGGTGAAAGGGGGTCCAATTATGTATTTGGTTTGGTTATTTATTTATTGAAAGATGAAGCTCACGGAAGATGCCAGTAATAGGATTCGAAACGTACAGAGATGTATATCCTTGGGAAAATAAATAAATGAAGGATGTCCGAGTATCTTTTACATTTTATTAGAGATTTTGCTGTAGATTCAACCATTTTTAATCATTAAATTTATGAATTAAATTGCGTGAGAATAATTTGAAAATACGCATGAATATTCAGCCTCATTCAAATTACATTTTGCACGGAATTATTGTTTTTAAAAATATTTGTTGATTATATATAAATAATTTTAATTGCTTGAGCTTTCGGAAACCTTATTTTTTAGGCATGAAATCGATTTCTGGAAAAATTTTGAATACGAATGAATTTTTTACGATGCCCAACAAATGATTTTCAGGGGGGAAATTTGATTGTTTATAATTCATTTGAAGAAAATGCTCATGATTTTCAAAAATTGCTATTTTTCAATTATTTTATCAACCTTTCTCAAAATGTAAACTGGATTTTTTCACGGTTCAATATCAAGATTCAAACTCAAAAAATTTACGTCCAAGAATTTTTAGAAAAAAATGATCGTATGAATTAAGTAAAACAAAAAAGTCAAAATCTGTTGAATTGCTATCAAATGATATTTGGAAAATAATACTGAAAGGCTATGCAATTTTCTATAGAAACCAATAAAAAACTAATGGAATTGTAATAGAATTGGTTCTGGAAATTTCCAGTACACTTCTTCGAAATTTTTATCAAATGAAAGTTGTTCACCTGAAAATTGAAAGATTGTCGGCAGTGAAAATTTACAATTTACGAAGAGAGAAAACATCAAAGAGCTCTGGAAATTTCAACGGAAAAAACTCAAAATTTACATCCAAGAATTTTTACAAAAAAAATCTTATGAAAATAAATAAAATAGAAATGTCAAATACAGTTAACGAATTTCTATTAAATAATTTCCATCAAATGCCTTGTGAAAAATCATTCTGAAAGACTATGCAATTTTCTATAGAAATCAAATTGTTATCAAATGAAATTTGAAGTTGACGTTCATCTGAAAATCGTCGGCGGTGAAAACTTACAATTTACAAAGAGAAAAACATCAAAGAGCTATGAATTTAAATTTTAATCTTCAAAAAACAAGTTATGTTTACACTACTTTAACGTAGCTTTGTTGAAATTACTACTAAACTCGAAATTCCCCTCAAAACTCCTCGACCTCAATTATGAAATCTTTTATTTCCAGGAATCATCGAGCCCGTGGAGCACATCATCGTAAGGCAACAATTCAGGGATGACGTGATGACGACGCCAAAGATAGAACTAGAATCACGAATGTCCGTGCCATTCCCCAAGAACATCAAGTCTCGAAACCCTCTGATTCTCGCAGGTGAGACATCAGACAATGATCAACTGGACTCAACGACGATCGAAGATGAAGAAGGCGATTCACAAGAAGAGAAAATCTGGTACACTCGAAGGAGGAAACGAAGTGCCAATGAAATTTCAGATGAATCAGAGAGAATCAGTGGTAATCGAAAGCATAAAAGACCTCGAATAACCATCGAATCACAAGATGAAGACGAAATCGAAGAGCTAGAGCATTCAGATGATAAATCGAATGTTTTTCAGAATGATTCAGATATCCAAGACCTCAAAAAATCACCTGAACAATCCAAGGAACGAAGACATGAAGACGAACAGAACACAAATTTGGGAGAGCACGAAGGAGAATTGAGAGTTACGAAGAAAGAAGAAAAATGCGAGAGACTCGAAGGATTAGCCAGTGATCATGAAACTTCAAGCATTCTCCAAGATAATTCAGAAATCACGAAAGAAGAGGATGAAGAGCCGCAAGATAATCTTGTTATCAATCCCTTGAAAGCCCTGAGGGAAAGGAAAAAGTATAAACAGCGTAAAAATTCATTTACGAGACGAGAAGACGAGACTCTTGAAAGCATTGATGCTGATTTTGGGTGTGCGAAGGAGGAGGAAAAATGTGGATGGCTTGAAAGAGCAGTTGATGATCAGGAATGCTCGACTATCCTTGGGAATCATTCAGGAATCAGTGAGGAAGAACGTGAGGATGCAAAAGGTGATCATGTTATTGACCCCCTGATAGCTTTCAGGGACAACATAAATACGAGAAGGCGTAGGAATTTGTTGAGAGGACGAGCAGAGGAAACTGATGGGAGCACTCGTGCTGAATTTGAAGGTGCAAAGAGAGAGGAAAAGTCTGGAGGGTTTGAAGAATTGCCCGATGGTCGGGATTCTTCTTGTATTCTTCGAAATGATTTAGACAGAAATGTGGAGGAAAGTGGAGTTTCAGATCAGCACATCGATGAAGTCCTGAGGAAACCGAAAAAGTCTAGAAAGTGTAATAATTCAATCAGAACTTTAGAAGATGAGGAAAAACCTAGAGTTAAAGAAGATTCTGAAGCAGATCAACAGAACGACAATTTTGAAGGCTTGAGGGAAGATGTGTCCTGTGAGGAGCCTGAAAGTGTAATAGATGGTGTAGCCCACGAGACCACTGATGAAGAATCCCAAGTTTCGAGGAAAGAGAACAAGTCTGAAGGACTTGAAACATCAGCCGAAGATCGAGAGTCATTCGAAATTGTTGTAGATCAAAAAACATGGAAGGACCTAATCGAAGGACCGGAGATTCAGAGGAAGAAGAAGAAAACGAAGAAAGTTGAAAAATATTTGAGAGAATGCCAAGATCACCGCATGCCTGAACAGTTGGGAATTCCATCTGAACTGGAAAAATCCGAAGATTTAACAGACGAGTCTGACGACAAAAACACTTCCCGAACTTCACAAAATCGTTCAGAAAGTGAAGTCTCACAAGATCAATCTAACCAGAATTCTCACGAGTCTGAACAGAAGAAGAAGTCTAAGAAACTCAGGAAATTACTCTCTGACCACAAGTCTCTCGTTGATTTTCAGAATAATTCGGAGAGGGATATAAAAGAAGATGAAGAGTTGGAAGATTCAGTCAAAGTTTTAGGAGGTGCAGGACCTTCCGGTATTTTTCAAAATCATTCAGAAACTAAATTTCATGAAAATAGAGTTTCACAAGATGAATGTAACGAGGACCCTCAGGAGCTACTAAAGAAGAAAAAGAAGTCTAAAAAACTTAGAAAATTATTCCACGAACCAGAGTCCCTCATTGATATTCAGAATCATTCAGACGTGAATATGAAAGAAGATGAAGTATTTAAACATGCGCTAGCAATATCTAATAGCAAAAATCCTACCAGCACTTTCCAAAATGATTTAGAAACACAGGACTATAAAAATGAAATATCACAAGATGAATCGAACAAGGAGCATCATGAATTTGTCAAGAAAGAGAAGTCTAAAAAACGTATAAAATTGTTGTACGAACAAGAGTCCCTTGTTGACATCCAGATTAATTCAGAGGTGGATATAAAAGAAGATAAACTATTTAAACATTCACCCGAAATGTCTGTAGATGAAAATCCTTCCAGCACTTCCCAAAATTATTCAAAAACACGATACTACAATAATGAAATCTCACAAGATGCATCAAACAAGGAAGATCATGGACTTGTCAAGAAGAAGAAGAAGTCTAAGAAACTCAGGAAATTTTTCCACGAACAAGAGTCCCTCGTCGACATCCAGAATAATTCAGACGTGGATATAACAAAAGATGAAATATTCATACATTCACCAGAAATGTCTAAAGACGAAAACCCTTCCAGCACTTCCCAAAATGATTTAGAAACACAGGACTATGAAAATGAAATCCCACAAGCTGAATCGGACAAGGAAGATCATGAGCTTGTCAAGAAAAAGAAGTCTAAAAAACATAGAAAATTATTCCACGAACAAGAGTCTCTTGTTGACATCCAGATTAATTCAGACGTGGATATAAAAGAAGAACTATTTAAACATTCACCAGAATTGTCTGTAGATGAAAATCCTTCCAGCAGTTCCCAAAATTACTTAGAAACACAGGACTATAAAAATGAAATTTCACAAGATGAATCGAACAAGGAAGATCGTGAAGTTCTCAAGAAGAAGAAGTCTAAAAAACTTAGAAAATTGTTCCATTTGAAATTTTTCCACGAACAAGAGTCTCTCATCAACATCCAGAATAATTCAGATGTGGAGATAAAAGAAGACGAAGAACTGCATGACTCGATCACCCCTGAAGCCTCCCCATCTATAAAGAAGAATAAAAAGTATAAGAAACATAAAAAATCATGCCAAGACCAAGAAGTGCTCATCATTGCCCAAAACGCATCAAAAATAGAAGTAAAAGAGGATGAGGAAGAAAATCAGTCTCGTAATCAAGAGTTCAAAGTTCCAAAGATAGTCAAAAAATCGAAGAAACGTAAAGGATTAAGCCAAACACAAGAATCTTCTGATACCTCCGATATCAGTGGAAGTGAAGTTGACTCAAATTTCAAGACAAAAAAAAGGAAAAAGAGATGTTCTGGAAATTTACATAAATATGACGATTTTCCCAATGTCGTGAATGAGGAAGTTATGCCAGAACGCGGGAGGAAAGAGAAAAACGATGAAGTTAAAATTCCGAAGAAGAGCTTTTATGAGCAAATGATGGAAGATTCTGACTAATTGTTGCTCAAACAATACGGATTATCCTTATAAGCTTGTGATTGTGATGTTTTCTATTCATATGAAAATTATTATTGTTTTTATTCCATTGAAAAAGTGAATAAACGTTGTATATATTATTCCATATTTTCTGAGTTATTTTGCTAAGATACTCATACCCCTACTCCACTATCAATGATACGAAATACAGTCGGACTAAGTTTTTTGTGACATCTGCCTCAAAAGTGCACTTTTCGAAACGGTTTAGTGTGCATAAAGTGGTTGTTTTCTGCACGACGTGCGTAAGATATTCACTTTACGCATTCGTGCACAAAAACAATCACATTACGCCTACTGTCGTTCCGAGCAGTGAATTCGGCAGGTACCACAAAAAATAGGATTTATACACGTGCGTGTGAAAAAGTGGAACTTTACGCACTAGTAACACAATATACTATTTTGATCTGCTGCTACGTTCACCTCGTAACAAAGTGTGTTTTCGGTTACTCGTAAACGAAATAATATATTTCGATATGAGTGAGACGGAATTGACCCAAGTGTGATTAGCAGCCCTCGGCTTCGCCTCGGGCACACTCGTGAGAATTCCCGTCTTCTATGTGTCGAACAATATTTTTCATCACGCTGTGCAAAAAAGTAACTTTTCTGTACTGCTTCTCACGATTTCTCGTCTGGGAATTGGTATTACATACTTCCCAAATTCGAAAACTTGAAAATCATTACAGAAAAATATTGTTCCTGGGCTGTTGCGATGGGGTTTTTTTACTCGTGTGGTTGGCCACCCCTCGCCTACTTTCCGCCGGAGGCCGGAAAACTACTACTTTAGGCACGCTTCGCGTGCCTAAAACGTCCCTTTTCCACACATTATGATGAAATAGTATAGTTCAGTCCGTGTAGGGCAATATCGTCTTTAACGTGTGTGGGGTTTACAGCATGAGCCGAAGGCGTACGAGTACTGAACAAAATTTTATGTCACGAAGCCTGAAACCGGCTGAATTAGACACGAGACGCGAAGCGTCGAGTGTGTAATCCAGCCGGTTTCAGGCATGAGTGGCATAAAATATCGTTCGATACTCGTGGGAAAAGTATTTTTTGGCTCGTGGGAGGTTTATAGCACGAGCCAAAAAATACTTTTATCACACACTTTCATACTTTGATCGGAATTATATCACTCGAAGGCGAGTGATATAATCCCGCACTCGTAACGAAATATACTATTTTAACAGTGATGTTACGTTCAGCGAGTGATCGAACTGTCTTTTTCGTTTACAAGTAATCGAAAAGGCTTTACGTTTACGTTTTGTTTACGAGTAAATGAAAAGGCATTTTTTAGCACGAGGTGAACGGAGCAGCAGTGTCAAATAAGTCTTTCTCATCACACTGTCCGTAAAACGACGGTTTACAGATAGTGTGATGAAAAAATTTCTATTAGTTTTGAGATATATTTGCTTCCGGATATTTGTAATCGGTCGATTTTTTGATTCTCTAATTTTGCTCGGAAATGACTTAGAATGTCCTAAGGCGTCGAAATATGCTGTTTTTAGAGTATGTTTTTATGTACGTCCGTATGTGCGTACAAAATTTTGGAAATTTTTTTATGAATTTTAACAAAACAAACAGGGGTTCGAGCCTTTTTGGTAGAAGCTATCTGACCGTTCCTTTATGTGGTATAATTTATAAGAGTTATAACTTATAACAACACGTAAATCAGTGAGAAAAATCATCCAAAATCAGTTTCAGTTGCAAGGCAGTCTATCACTAAATCCTTGCATGACGAGTGAATATGGCACTATCATAGATATTGTTCCTGTATGCGATGAAACCAGTCGCACCTGTATGGATCAATTTGACAAGCAATTATGAACACATTGAGGCCTCGACAATTTTGAAGTGAATAAATACATCTACACATGCAGTTGTAAACCTCAGAAAACCATGAGGTCTTCATGTGACATGACATTCCAAGTAATTACGATAAAAAATCCGATGGCTAAAGAAAAACACTGTAATTAACGTAATAGATCACGATTTTTCATTAAATGTTCCATATCAAGAACTACTAAACCAATTAAGCTCAAATTCTCCCGACTTGTGTAGGTAAATAGTATTGATCGCTACCAAAAATTTTAGATCGTCCAAAAACTGCCTAGGGCCATTATGTGGTCTGATATGCACAAAACTATCAATTTATTCTGAATCCTTTGCCAACGCCTCAATTTTATTTCATACAATCATCTAACTCTTCTTATTGAACATTGTAATGTAAAATTTTTTAATCTATTTAAGCAAATACATCAAATCGACAGCTCCCCATAACAGTGATGGCATTGGATCTTTCATTATTACCAGAGACCATTGTTTTTCTGCTCCAGTTATTCATTTATCTTTCCTGTTTACCCATTTTTCATCGGAACGACACGACCTATCCCAAGTCTCAGAATTGAGAATAGTAGGAAGGTGTTGTTATTATGATATTTGAAGCGGTTGGGAACAATTAAGCATGAAAGTGCATGACAATTAAATCTGTCGATCATCTATATGAGTTGGTCAAGCCCCTGGGAGAGAGGAGGGTATTGGCGAATATTCGTCTGCATCGTACGTAATGCCTTTGGAATGCAATGCATGCAGTAGGATTCTGAAAAGACGTTATTGCGCCGGCTATTCTGGACATTATTAAGGAAATCGGTAGGAAACCGTACGCCGTTTTCCTCGTTACATCTACCGATGCTGCATATATTGTATATGAAGTACATGTGCATTTGGATGCAGTATTATAATAGTCTAAAAGGAAAGATCATGATCGATTTATTGGGGATCTTTCGTATCGAAGAGGCCACACCCGAGTGATGTCTCTACAGGGGTTTAACGAATCGTCTTGATAAAATCAAAGTTTATTGCAGAGCCTGCTAATAAAATAATCATATACGGAATCGCCGATTTTCTGGCGATCTAGCACCGAGTTTGGGCGATATGGAGGGGGACAACTGGCGACAAGACCTCTGAAATATCTGGCAACCCTGTTAGCGTCGTGTTTGCCAACACTTCTCGTTTGGACGTCACAAGGCCAGTGGCCCTTGGCAAATAATTGCTGCACGAGATTTTGAAAATCGGAGATATTGGGACTTGGATTTCGGCACCCCTAGAGAAAAATAAATATATCTTCACGTCTCCCGGCAGCGTGCTGATAACATTGGGTTGTCTTCGAACACGGTGAGCGGTGAAATAATTTCCAAATAGTTTTGTGAGACAGCTGCAGCAAGCGGCGAGTTTGTCATTTTTATATTGAAGTTAGAGACACAGCCTCTGGCGAATTCGACGCCATTTTCTGTTCAATCATTTCTCCTTACACACTCTAGGAACCGGTAAACTAGGATATGTGCAATTTTTTGAAAAATTTTCTACTGCTTAAATCAAAAGTTCTCTCAAAGGTCGTCAAATTGTTGGACTCTCTTAAAAAAGTTCCATTTTTGCACTTCCTAGTTTACCATTTCGCTGGAGAACTCATCCCGTGCTCGGCGGATTATTTTTCTCGGATACGAATGCTTCACCATTATTAGTTGGACTTTACTTGATTTGATTGTAATGAGTGGAATGATTATAATTTTATAATTTTATTATTGATTTAAATTCAGTGGTTCCATGTTCATTTTTTTTTATTTGGATGAGGACTCGTTTCCATTGGCCTTTCGAGGTCCGGGTGTGGTTCTTTCGATAACTAACTTCTGATTCATTTCTCTTCCTGTGTGTGAAATACTTTTTTTTTTATTGTGTGGGAAATACTTGAATTAATTTTCGATCATTGGATATCATATGCGCCGACACTGGTTTAATTTGTTTTTGTGTCGAGAGAATTGGGATTGCAGCGTCTGTGTTGGCGCTCGAGTTTATTTCGTTTTGTGTCGCCGGGTGATCATTGAAGGTTACCGGTTCTCGTGTTTGATATTCTCTCGGAGCAATCCCAGTTCTCGTCGTTTGAAAATTTAGAGACTCAGATCTCGGGATAGTTGTAGATTTCTGCCATAATTATGAACTTAATGGTAACTCTGCTAGGTACTTTATCCATTGTCTTTCATTAATTGACTTTGAATTTATTTGACTTATCTTGACTTTATTCCTTTACAAGATCTATGCGCGCGCTTTCGCGCGCGCTGATCTATTCATTTGTTGAAATGAAGAAATGGAATTCATTGAATTTCATTTTCTCATGAATACCTTATAAATATTGATAATGAATCAAAGAGAATTCGACTAATGATTGAAGTGAATAGCGAAGTAGAGTAAAAGAATCTATAAAGAATTTTTCATTTTAGATTAATTATCTTCAATTTTTTTAAATAATCGGTCTCCATAAAAGAACAGAATTGATTAATTTCACCGATGATATATATACATGTGAAATATATATATTATATAGATATATATGACGTGAAAAAAAAAAATTACCACTGAAGAATTTGAAATTATGTCACTGAAGAATTTGAAAATGCCGAGTGTTTTTTTTGTAAATAACTTCGCGTCAAATATTAAACAATCAGAATTAAGGATTAGCGGTCAGGCAGTTTCGAGATATTTCGATATAAAACAACTTCACGTTTCTTTCATCTTTAGTAAAATTGGAATTTTTAGTCCATACGCAATACTCCCTTCCCGTGTGCACTAAAAGGACGGAAGAATATCATCGTTTTTTCTTATGTTGTTTGGCTTGAACAAACCGAATCTGTTGATGTTTTTTCTCTCCGACCGTATCTTTTATTCGAAGTATTTTTCTTCATCTCTCATAGTTGTCCCGCGAACTCGGTTTAAACAATTGGATTGTTAATAACTTTTGAATGCACAGTCTCAGATAAAAAACACTGACAAATTTGGTTTCTTCAAGCCAAACGACATGAGAAAACACAGTGATCTTCTTCCGCCCTTTTAGTGCATACGGGAAGGGGGTATTGCGTATGGACTATTTGACTATACTGAATTCTGCCAAAGAAGTAACCCCGATTGGAGTGGTGGGGAGCACGAACATAAGTGGGGATTGGATAGAGTGGGGGTATACAGCTAAAGTTATGCAGGATTATTATTTAGGATTTGTATTGTGTAGTCATTAGTTTTTTTTTTGTTTAATTTATTTATGTGATGAATTTATGTAATTGACACCGAGATTTAGTGCAATTAATTAGAGAATAAGACGGGGTTTGATTTCATCAACAATTTCGATTTTCTTTTGTAAATTGATTTGGTTTTGATTTCTTTTATTAAATGATTGTTCCCCGCAACTCTGAATTTTTTTTATTATTTCGGTAAATTAGGAACCCAGTCATTTCAGAATATTTTGGGGCAACATTTTGTGGATCCCAACCGCAACCGCGGTTGATACTGAACTACTGGCAGTTGTCCTTTTTCGTGTGGATATGTTTGGTATCGGATTCGTATTATTTTGCACGTTTCAGATGTGCTGGCGGCCAACTGTGGTTCGTTGATTGGGCGCCGAGGGCGCAGAGGGGCGAAATACGTCACAATATATACATATTTTTTTATTTTTTTTAAATAAATATATTTATTAAACATTCTTTTCACTTTGTATATTTTCATTTTAGCATGTAGGAAGTAATTTAAATGAAAAGGTATAAACCCAATAAATTCACTCCCCAAATAACTTTTTAAAAGAGTAGATATTTGTCCATATATTGTACGATCGCCTTCTTTACAGAGTCGTCATTAAAATGCAAACAATATAGTATTTGAATAATTATATCTCAGTCGGTTGAGTGCTCTTTCCCACGGTCTAGGGCAGACTCCTACAAGCATATTATTTAATTATGTTCTTCATATGATAAGCTAAGCTGTTGCTGCGAACAACGGCGACAAAAAACGTTACATATGCTTTTTTTTAAAGAGGAAAATTTTCAGGAGTAATACCACTAGGGCTTCAAAAATATCCGATTAATTTTGAAGCACGAGTGGTATTTGACGGATTATTTTTCCACTCGGATTTCGGCCAAGCAGAACAGCATCCGGATACATTTACACAGCCATACATTTACAACCCACTTTTTTGTTTATCTGTCACACATTATAATAAACGTGAAATACGTTGAAAGATGAGAAACATTTGAAAAGCTTCTAGTGAATTTCCGTCGGAAATTTTTCAGAAATTTCCGAAATAAAACTGTTTGACAGCCTCAAATATTGCGCTCTGATTGGCTGAAGTCCGAGTGAGAAAAATAATCATTAATATTTAATTTGATTTAGAACTCTTTAATAAAGAGGAAAAAGGCTTCAAAATGCGTGGTCACTTGTGGTATTCCATAGCGAATTTACACCTTATATGCGGCAAAATTTATTTGCTCCGTCCGAATGGGAGCCTTGTATTGGACCGATTTTTCGATATTCTAATTTTGATTGCAAATTCAGTAGCGAAGCGGTAAACCGGGTTAAGTCGATTTTGACTTTTGGGCATTTTTTGACAAATATCTTGGAATCTAAGAGAGATAGCAAAATTTTGCTCATCACCTTTTTTATAACCCTCAGTTGGCTCTACAAAAAAGGTCATGACAAAAATTTTTCTATCTCTTTTAGATTCCCAGATATTCGTCAAAAACTGGCCAATAGTCAAAATCGGCTTAACCCGGTTTACCGCTTCGCTACTGAAATGGTCTACAATGTTATGAAAGGTGAGGAAACGATGGTTTTAAGGACATGTCTGTATGTATGTACATGACAACTTGGATTTTTGGTGATTAATTTTTGGAAAATTCACATATATACGATGAAATTTGTAGATAAAAATATTTCATAGAAACATTTCTTTAAAAATGGGTCATGTAGATATGCCTATCCCACTGAATAAAACCGAAATTTAATTCTCAATTTTAGAAGGTCAAACGCTTCGAGGATACGTTGTCAATAAAAATTTCCACTTTTCAATTAAAAAATGAAATTTCTACCGATCCATTCGGAAGCTTGCGACCACTGGAATTGGTCGAAATAAAAAATGAAAAAGACAAAAGACGTATCAATCAATGATCACATGCCTTCTGGAAGAAAGGCTCGACTCCCTGCTTGCTTTCACTCGTATCGCAATAAACCATTTTACTATCTACGAGATGTAAAGTCAAGTCTCAATGATGTTCAAATCGACTTTCTACTTTGTTCTATTTTTCAACGTACGCCATAATTGACTCAGTTCACCCTATTTAATGTTGTTTTCCTGAAAAAAAAAAAACAATTTTTTCCAAACATTTTAGGAATTCGTTCATTACATCCCCACACATTCAAATTCTCCCGCCAATTGGGCGTTGCCACCACGCTTCAATCAGAAATCATTTTTTTTTTCTGGACAGTCACGAGGAAAAATTATTGGTCGTCTCCACGATCTTATGCGCAATGTAATTGGCCAATCAACGTAGTGACAATTTGTCTTCAGCTGGAAACTTTTACCCAAACCTGTAATGGAAGAAGACAAAACGAAAAATTCGTGAGTGACAGCCGACATATGTCGCAATTTTTCAGTTGAATGGATTAAATAATTGGAGTTCCACGGTAATTATCGAAAACGAGGTTCGTAAACTGTTAATTTTTATGGGATGTGCATTCCATCGGTAAATATCTGCATTCAGCATTGGTAATCCTCCAATGAAACCCGTGATTCCTGGGGTGACCGCCTGAATTGAATTTATTACATTCAAATATATCGAAATATTGAAAATATTCAACGTGAAGTACTGCTACATCCTATTTATAGGGGAGAGTGGGGTAAAATGGACACTTTTGACTTTTTAAAAAATGTTAATGACAGGTTGAATTGTTGGTGAAATGTTTTTTTTTTTATTTTTCAGTAAAAAGAACAGTTCTTTCCCTTTGTGTTGAGCCTAAACTGATTTCAATTGATAAAGCTGTCTGTGAGTTATAAATATTTCTTTAAATATGTCCATTTTACCCCACCCTCCCCTAAGAGGTTAGAATGTTCGCCTGGTAGAATTTTCTAATTACATTCTCTCTTAAGGGAATAGCTTTTCGCAAAACTCTGACGTGTCGTGAAGTATGTTTACGATCAAGCGATAATGGCGCAAAAATTGTTTAAAATGCGATGAAGCATGTGACTCACCATCGCATTTCCTGCTGAGAGAAAAACGAATGGGTATTACCCAAAGATTAAATAGTCTCAGAGGCGTGGAATTATCAAGTTTTGATGTCAACTACTGTGCGGCATAATTTTACACTGTCATAATTAGTTTGATTTCAGTAGTGAAGCGGTACAACGGTTTAAGTCGACTTAGCTCTTAGCTGAGTTTTTGCGGAATAAAGATAACGGAATTTTTAGTGAGACCTTTTTTCTAGAGCGAATTGAGGGCTACAGACAAAATTATGAGAAAATTTTTGATATTTGCTTTAGATCCCCAGTAATTTACATCAAGTTTTAATGTAAACTACTGTGCGTAAAGCGGTTTAAATCGACTTAGCTCTTAGCTGAGTTTTCGAGGAATATCTCTTTTTTTTTCTTTTATTTAAGCGCAAAACCTACAGATTTATACAGCTGTCAATAGAAAAAAAGAAAGTATATGTATAATATAATTTACATCTTATTGTAGTATCAAAGTTGTGACATTTCTTCCTTAAATTGAGCATTTCTTTTTTTTTCCCCTAAGGATTAGTTAACAATTATAGTTCATTAGACATCTATTCGTGCGTCGTTTCGAAAATTCGTGAGGATCTTTATGATTTTTGAGTCGAGTTCTTTTAGCGTGGTTTGACTTGAGTACGGAGGATAAATTTGGGTTTTAGTAAGTGAATTGTACATGGTTTGTCTTGCTGAGGAATATCTCTGAATCCAAAGAAGATAACGAAATTTTTGATAAGACCTTTTTTCGAGAGTGAATTGAGGGCTACAAAAGAGATTTTAAGGAAAATTTTGTTATTTTCCTTCGATTCCGAGATATTCGTTGAAAACTGGCCAATAGTCAAAATCGGCTTGCGCCGTTTTACCACTTCGCTTATTTCATTTTAGTTCATAAAGACCGAACAACACGGCCCATTACAGGATCAAATTAAATGCACTTAAAGCATAATAATGAAATTAATAATATGCAATAACAGAGTTCAACATGGTACTCATGACGGAAATCATTTTGCGTCCGCATGGAAGCATTATAATCGTGGCAATTCAAGTTTTAGATTTTTTGGGTTATATCGAGCCATTATGTAATTTTTAGATCGTGTCTGTACGTATATGTGTATGTATGTACACTGATAGAACGGTTTAGTCGAACCAAACGAGACTTTTTAACTATTACCACAATTCGTTAATTACTAACGAATCGCGGTAACAGTTAAGAAGCCTCGTTTGGTGCAATTGAATCGTTCCATTTTTTCTATCAGTGTATGTGTGAGGTAAAGTTTTTCTTCAATTGTTCACGAATGAATGAATGGAATTGAGTCTTTTTTCTTTCAAATGTAGGTATTGTTGAGCCCTACCGATCGCCATTAATTAAAATTTAATTCACCATTTTTTTTCCATTTTCGAATTTTTTCAAAAATCGGTTGTCCCACGATAACTAAAAAAAATATTCTGAATTGATTGAATGATTTCTTAAAAAATTTGTGTGGATGTCCTTTTCAGCGAGTTCGAAGATGAAGGCAATAGAATAATAGTTATTTTGATTTAGTTGAAAATTTGCAAAAATTTTATATTCTTTGAAAATCAAAATTTCGGGGATGGATTTAATGCCATTAGGTGGAAGTTGAAAGATTATTGCTTGGCTAGTGATTTCTGCATACTATTTTTGACCATTATTAATGTCCGCTTCTATTAGGTTCAAATTTGAGAAAATTTCTGAGAAGTGATTTTTAAAAATTTTGTGTGAAAATTTAAACTTCTGCGTAAAACTGTCCACCAATTTTCATGTCAATCCTCTATTTAAAAAATAAGTAAAACATTTTCGGCCAACAATCTAGTTCGGCAAAGCCTATGTTAGACTTAGGAATATGTCAAGTTCATCTTAGCTTATGAATAAGAAATGCTCATCTATACATATAATGCATGAAATAATGATAATATTATGAATAATAATAATGAAATTGATGTGTTATATACATATACAATGTACTATTATTTTATACATTTTATTATATATAAATAAGTATTTTTATTCGTGGCGAAATAGATTGCTGACCAAAAATGTTTCACCTATTTTTTAATGTTTCTAGAGAATTAATTGGAATTTGTTATTAAAAGATTGAAATGTTGAGTTGCCACTTTCATTACTAATTCAATTACAGGTGAATCATGACGTCCGCGCCGTTGCTGTTGTCTGAAGAGGACGTGGAGAGTGGAGGAAAATCAGACGACTCCACCAGTATACAAAATGATTTTGCCTATCGCAATAATGTCTACAATGCGCACATCAAAATCCGCATGGGTGAATATCCCAATTAAACTCAAATTATTGTTGGCATCAGGTAATTTTCAGAATGAACATTTTAATTAATTGTTCCAGCATTCCTGCGGAAGGTCTACGGCCTCATCTCCATGCAGCTGCTGTTGACAGTAGCTATCGCAGTTGTTTTCGTTGTATGCCAGCCAGTCCAATATTTCGTCCACGAAAAGTAATTTTTGTTTATTCGTTATTGGACGTCATGATGTATGCAAAAATTACTCGTCCATTATAATTAAGCGGTTATTGTCGTGTTTTTTAATTCTGTAGGCCATGGGTGATAGGAATCCCGTCCATCGCATCCATGGTAATCCTGATTGCTCTGCATTGCAAGAGGAAAGACCATCCGGCTAATTTGATTCTGCTGTGTATATTTGTAAGCTCACTTGTTTGAAATTATTGATGAAATGGTAAAACGTAATGGGAAATAAGATATTTTTAGTCAAGAATATTCTACTGCATTGCAGAATTTTCGTCATTGATTTCAGAATTTTGGAATGCTTAAGGATATCTAATTATTTTGTAGATTATAGATTCAACCATTTTCAATCATCAAATTTGACAACTAAATTGCGTGAAAAAAAATTGAAAAAAATCATGAATATTCAGCGTTATTGAAATTGACATTTTGCGCAGAATTATTATCTTTCAAACATTCCTTGTTTATAAATAAATAGTTGAGATTGTTTAAACTTTTGGAAACCTTATTTTTTAGGCATGAAATGAATTTCTGGTAAAATTCTGAATATGAATAAATTTATTACGATTAGACTCCCCTATATTATGATTTACCAATTCACTGTTAAGAGATTTATTCATCTTTCAAAATTGAAGTCATTAATTTTTTTTACAGACTGTTTTACAAGCCTTCTCGATTGGATCCATCGTGACCTTTTTCGACGCTAATGTAGTGCTTGAAGCAATATTTATAACAATGGCGATTGTTATTGGATTGACTGTCTACACTTTCCAGTCGAAACGAGATTTCTCGTTCCTGGGATTTGGGTAATAACTCCAGTTTCGACTTTCCTATCTCTTCTATTTTAATTGACAAGATATTCATGCAAAATTAAAAACAGCAATTTACTCAAATTCAAGCGTTTATCTGCTTTTTTGTGGACAAATCGCATTTTTTGTAAGAGTCCAAACGTTAAATTAGAATTGGATTTTCTCGTAAAGAGATTTTTATCAGTCAGTTGAAGTTTTGTGGATCGATAATGATCTGAACTATTCAATTGTTTTCATAACAAGTAATTTTTCCAGGACAAAATTCCACCAAATATAATCCGTTGACATTTCAAAGTCATTAGATTTGCGGACACTTTTTGCGAATTTATCTAAAATTTATCAAACATTTCCGCCTCAAATTTCCGGTAGAGTTCTTGGAATTTTTTTATCGCACTGTCATTCCACTGAAATTTCAGAGAGAATCATCATTGAAAATTCAAAATTTTATGGACAAATTAATGAGAACTCTAAATTTCTGTTCACATATTCCATGGAAATTGATAGATATCGGTAAAATTTGGATAAATATATTTTTGACCTTTCAATTAATTGAAAATGTAAATAAGTTAACAAATTTTCGTCTTCCTGTTGCTCAAAAATGCGCAATTCCACTGAATTTTCAGTGAAATCTGAAATTTAATAATTCTTCCCTCTCCACGTCCGAGTGCCCAAATTTTAATTCAAGGTCATGTTTGAAAATCACTCATTAATTGCACATTAATTAAAAATAATGATTCTGAGATTTTTTCATGATTTTTCTGAAGGGTTTCCAGTTCGAGGAACGAAATGAATATGGCCCCTAGTTTTTTGAATGAACAGGCCTATATAAGGGAAATGTTGGAATTGTTTTATGGCCTTTTTGTAGATCTCACTTCGCTCTGCAAAAAAAATTCGCTATCTAAAATGATTTAAGTCGACTTAGCCCTTAGCTAAGTTTTTGAGGAAAATCTCTGAATCTAAGAGAGATAATGAATTTTTCATCAAGACCTTTTTTGTAGCCTTCTATTCGCTCTACAAAAAAGGTCATGACAAAAATTTTGCTATCTCCCTTCGATTCCGAGATATTCATTGAGAAGTGGCTAATAGTCAAACTCCGCTTCGCTACTGATTTCCTAAAACCATTAGTTTCTAAAATGAAGGAACAGTCAATAAAATTTAATGGAGCAAATTTAGAAGACCTGATATTTTTATTTTTTTCATATTACAGACTCTTTGCTGGACTTTTTGCTCTCCTAGTTGGTGGATTAGTCCAGATATACGTCCAGAGTTCACTTATGGAGATAGCTATGGGTATTGCTGGAGCTGTACTCTTCGCTCTATTTATTATTTATGACACCCACAACCTGATGAATAACCTCTCTCCAGAGGAATACATCCTGGCTGCAATCAACATCTATCTCGATATCCTTAACTTATTTTTATATATTCTGAGGGCCCTAGCTGCCAGACGATAAAATTGTGGATGTTGTTGTTGATGTAAATAATTATCAATTCCAAAAACAATGTACTTCTTTTTATGCGCACATTACGTGCAACTATTGTTGCGTAAGGTATATTTATGAGGATGTTGAAGAAAATTGACGGTCTGATGTAGCTGGACAAATTCGAAACGATAGTTCCTCCTTTATATTTTTTATATTTTATATTCTATATTTCCCCCTACATCAAATTCCATGGCGTTCTCGTGAACATTACTAAACTGCCGATAAAATTCCATTTTTCTCAAGAGTATAAAACTTTTTTTTTCAACAGCTTTGGTTAAATACCACACCTTAAATGCCAATATTTATCAGAATTTTTCATTAATTTCCTAGAGATTTTTCAGTGTGATGAATGATGTGAGGGAAATTATCAGTGTGAAACGCGTCACGTGACTCCGAATACTGCACTCTGATTGGTCAAAATCAGAATTGAGGAAATTGTCCTATCAATTTATTTCGTACGTAAAAGAGTTATGAAAAAGCTTCCTATAAATATTTCGTCATCTCCGTTCTATTCAGAGATATTTTACACAATCGAGAAGAACATTTTTTCTGTCGACTTTCAAAACGTCAATTCTGCATTTTCATCTGTTCTCACCTACAATTACCAAATTACTGTTGTGATTGGATAAATGCAAGGAGAATAAAGAAAGAATAAACAATTCAATGAAAATTTTATGGTTTTTTTTATTATACGTAGGAGAAGAACACTCAGATTTACGATGTTTCCATAGCAGACGTGGTCTCCTCGGTGTACTTTCCTTTGTCTTTACCGAGGGCAGCTGCACGTCCCTTGCTTCGTCTGTCGATGATCTTCTTACGGTCCTTGTCCATCTTCAATTTGACAATGACAGTCTGAAAAATTCAAACGAATGGACCAATTTATCGTGTGACCTGAGAGAAAGGGAATGAAGTGAATTGTTGAAGTTATGAAGTCAGCGCCAACTCTTCTACATTAATCGGCATCGATTCAATTGGCTTAATTAGTCAACAAGAAAACCCTGAGGACCGTTCGTCAATCGAGCGAAACTCCGATTTTCGGTGAATGGTTTGGATCATCATGTGAATGAAAGTATGAATTTATGAATTCTATTTGATGGAAAATGGCATGAGGCAACTTCATTCGAACATTGGATTTCGATAGGATCAGGACTTTTCATTTCAGAGTCAGTAGAGTTCTGGGAACTTTCAGCGAATTTATGTAAAATTTACGAAAAATTTTTGCCTCAAATTTCTGGTAGACCTTGGAAATTTTTTATCGCATAATTCCGCGTAATTCCGCTGAAATTTCAAAGAATATCGTCATTGAAAATTCAAAATTTCATGGAAATATCAACGAAAACTGTAAATTTCAGTGTACCTATTCCATCGCAATGAATAGGTATCAGGAAAATTGAAATAAATATATTCTTGAAATTTCAAATTAATTGACAATTGAAGTAAGTTGACAATCCATTGTCTTCCTGCTGCTAAAAAAATGTGGAATTTCATTGAATTTTCAGTGAAATCTAAAATTTGACAATTCTTCTCCTTCTATGTCCAAATGGCCAAATATTGATTCAAGGTCATGCTTGAAAATCACTCATTAACTGTCCATAAAATTTCAATTTATTCCAACAGTGTACCCCATACGAATATGATCATTAAAAATTATATTTCTGAGAATTTTTCATTATTTTTCTGAAGGGTTTCTAGTTCGAGGGACGAGATGAACATATCCTCTAGCCTTTTAAATGAAAAGGCCTGTATAAGGAAAATGTTGAAATTTTCTTATGGAATTTTTTAAAGATCTCATTTCGCTATTTTCTTCGGGTTCAAAGATATTTATCGAAAAATTATCTCAAAACTCAACTCTCAATTCAAATTAAATTGAATCTGTTTTTAGAAGACATCTGTAGATCTAAAGCCGATGGAAAAATTTATGAAAATCCTTTCTTGTGGATCTCAGTTCCCTCTATTAAAAAATGTATTAACCAAATGTTTCCATCTTTCTCAGACTTAACGATATTATTGCGTATTTGTTCTTTTCCTCCTTCAACTCTCTTCATGTACGATCATCTCTTTCTGACTCGTTATTCTTTTATCTTCATTCCTACTCCGTGGACGTGTTACTCCCTTTCATATTTCTTTTTAACTTCCCGACCCGAAGGGAGGAAGTTATTGTAATGACCCCGAAAATCGAATGTGGAAATTTAAGCATTTCGCCACGTTTCATGACCTTTGGAACCACTTCTGACCCTTATCAGGTACCTGTCTGTATGTGTGGATGTGTGTATGTGTGTGCGTACGTCTGGGACAAAAATTTTGTGCCACGATTCCTCCTGAACAAACGATGCGATTTGACTTTTTTTTTTTAATCGCTGTATTTTCATGTGACTTGAACCTGATTAGATTATGGAGACGATCGTCTCAGCGTTTCTCCAGTTTTTTCCAAAAAACATTTGGAAAAAAGTCGAAAATTAGCGTTTTTTTGTAAACGAGACCATTTCTCCGTGCATAACGATGCGATTTCAAGTTTTTTTTGTTAGAAACGATGAATCTTGATATAACGCACAAATCATGGAATACTGGAAGACATTTAATCAGCAGTTCACTAGCTTTTTTCGAAATCGATATACATTCAAGAAACAATTTTACTTTTCTGATAAATTACATCTTTTCTCGATGCGGAATACGGCGATGTGTGTGCATGGGAGTGTGTGTGAGTGAGAGCACGCGCACGGATTTTCTTGTCTTCTATGGGTATTTCCTCGGAGAAATGTGAGAAAAAGATTGAATAAATACATAATAAAAAAATTAATGCAAGAAAAAACAAATGGTCGGGAAGTAATTGGTGCGACCCGTAATGGGTCACATCCAATTCCACCAACCCCTACCGGTCATACCCCAAGGAGGGAGCGCGCGAAGCGCGCGACCGGGCCTGATTTTTATTATTCATTTTACCTCAAAATCTTTTAATAAATACTCATTCTTAGTTAAATGGCTTGTATTTAACAATATTCATCGAAAACTCAGCGAAAAGTTGACTTAATTCGTCTAGTTGTCAACAACTCATTAAATGGTTTCGTTTCTGGAAGATTTGGATTTCAAGCAAATAAGACATTATTCATGAGGACCTCTTTTACTTTTTACATCTACAAAAAAGATATTTGTGAAGATTTTCATGTGTCTATACGAAATGATATAGTAAATAAATTACTGAATCCATGAACTGAGTGAATTTTACGTTGGGAGAATGCATACCTTTGAGGGGTCAATGCCGACATATACACTGGCACTGTTAGCTTTTTCCCTCTGGATTCTCTCGATGTAGATGACGAATTTCTTTCTGTACACCTGGATGACTTTTCCAATCTGTTGACCCTTGTAGTGGCCTCTTACAACCTTTAATCAACCGAAAAAAAATGAATTAATCTTCACTCGTTGAATTGCTGGTTTCATGTGAAAATCGTCGAATAATTTGTTATAAAATCAGTGCCAATTGCTCTGCAGTATTCAACAGACAGGTCAGCGGATCAGCAGCTCCCCAAGAAAACCTTGAGGATACCTCTCTGCTGATTGTCATTTGTCGAATCATCAGTGAATGGTTTGGTTCATCATTTTGAAAATATAGTGACAGAATGATTCAGCAGCTGAAGGGTAAAACGATTTTTGTTGTTAAACATTTGAAACCTATTTACAAAGTTTATTAGGTATAAATTAAATCTGTTTAGTATGCATGAATGTATAATATGTATCATTAACTGGACCGTATTAAAATAGTATATCCAAACTCCATGTGAGTCGCTGAGTATAGCCAGGAAAAATAAATGTAAGATGCCCGAAAAAAAAAATTCATCATTGATAATTTCCTACATGAATTCTTCAAAGAGTATATTCAGTGAATTGGGATATTTTTTTCCATAGAAACGACAATCGTCTCCTTTTGCGATGAGCCTAGACTGACTTAAATTGATTAATTTGTTTCTGAGTTAGGAACATTAGAAAAAAAGGGAAACGTTTCGATTTTACCTCACTCTTCCCCGTTTACCTGAACTGTCCTGGTTTCTATCAATTTCCAAGGAATAATTGTATTAAAAATTTATTTCGATTGATTGTTCTAGAAAAATTTGGAATATTCAATGACGAAATTCCTTAAAAGTTTCAACGGAGTATCTAAAAATTCATAGGAGATAGCGAAATTCTATTCAAATATATTTTTTAGTTTTGAAACGCGCTATTTCTTCGAATTTCGTAGATATTGATCGAACACTCATTATCGAGTTGAATTAATTAATCTCCTTTCACGATTTTGATCCTGAAATTTGGTGATTGAATTATGAACAATTGTCGCTCCACTGGAGAACACCTGTTTTGATATCATTATTATTGTTGAAATAATCACTCACTTGCACTTCATCGTCCTTGCGGATTGGCATGGAACGGACATTATATTTTTGACGCAATTCCTTGGACAGGGGTGCGGACATGAGCCGACGTCTGATGTGGGAAGGTGCTGTGAAGTGGCGTTTACGATTTTTCCTTCTTGAGGAGGTTACGAGCTTGTTTAACTTCATCTTGCCTTCACTCCTGCCGAGAAAAAAAAATGACAATTTTCTGATTAACAGAAGAGTGAGAATTATTTCCTGATTATTTGAATGATTGTTTATTCCAAACACGTGTGGCTAGTTTAGTAGAAACTTTATTGTTTATAACACATGACGTGAGTATATCACAGGCTATGTCAGTGGTGAGATCTCATATGGGGCATTGTAAAGTGGAAAACGAATATAATTCCACAATGGGGGGAACAAAAATATTATAATGGATCGGTCGAGCGTGAATGGTACTTTCGATTGAAATTTTCAAAGATCATTCATTTACGGTTTATTATCAAGATTTATCCGGATTATTTTGCACCGAAACTCACCTACGATGGGAGGTTAACGCACGAAAAACCGGAAGAGATATTCAGCGCCGGAAAAATGGAGTATGTTGAAATTAGGGGTGTAGTACGCATGCGCAGTAAATTGTATTATCGATAGTCGGTGCAAGACCGTTGGAACGCTTTTGGGGAGGTGCGCACCAGATGGGGGTGATATTATGTTCTCGCAAGCAGCAATTTTTCAATTTTTGCGGCAAAATATTTTGTATGTCGAAATTATTCGGAGAATCTCAACTCTTGAACTTTCATTGGATTGTACATTATAAAGTTTTGGTCCTGATATCTATTTTACTAAAATAGATATCTTCTTATCTATTTCTAATAGATTTCTTAAAATACTTTAGACGTATTTTGTAATTCGTCCAATAATAGACAAGAAATTTTACTTTTTGCTTCCGAATGGATCACTAGAACATGTCGCGCGCATATTGTAAGCTTGGGGCGCCAGAATAATATCTCTCCCTTTTAGTTTTTGGAATATAAGATTAAAATTTCAGAATAATAATGAGTTATCTTCACCATTCCATTTCATTATAAATTTTAATTATTTCCATAATACTGATTCATCATTTCTTCAATAATTTGGACTTGAGAGTTTGATCTTTTTTATTGAATACCTCATTTCTCATCTTTTTCATTTTTCTTCTGTTGTTTATATCTCCATTTATTTTTAGAAGTAGATGAAGAATATATGACCATTTTTTCGTTTGGGTCTCTTATGAGATGAAGAATTTCGGTCTTCAGCATCTGATATATGGGGAATGTAATTTCTCATATGATCGTAATAAATGTATCTCAATATTTTTAAGAATATATACTATATATGCTATGCAGTATGTTATAAATACTGCATATATATTATATGCAATATATATATAGTAATAGCAATGTAGTAACATGACATTGCTAAAGTAGCGCAATAGAGGTTTCAAAAAACGTTAAACTGAATTTTTTTGAAGGGGATTCAACTTTAAGTTTTGCGTTTTTTGTGTTATATTGACAAAAATAAAAATAACCATACTATATGCAATATAAGCGTAATTTCCCACTAGTTTAATTACAGTTTCCGGCGGTAATTGAATCTGTAATTTTTTATTCCCCATATTAATTAATATAACAATTGTTCAAGACACAGATAATCAATATTCAAATGTATAAAATCTTGAAGGCCCACTAAATTGGTTATCCTCACTACCGACTTTGAATTCCTTCTTAACCGACAGCAACTAATGAAATTAGTTCCAATAAAAAAACATTGAGGCCTCAGCAAGCGCTTTTTTTCTTCTTATTTTCCTGTGGTTTCGAAGGTCTAGGTGAAGTCATCAACTTCATGATCACTTCCACTATTAATTCCTACCACAAATCAACATTCACACAAATCCTCTTCGGAAATTCACAAGTATACAGCTCTGCATCACCGCACAGCTGTTTCACATAAAATCCGATTTTTCTACAATTGTGAATATTATGGGGTCCTGTTTAAAGAGTTCAACGATGTGCAGAAAACGCAGGGTAAATTGAACCTTCAATTAACGTTTTATTAACAGCGCTCTTTGTTTCTCACTCCGTCAATTGCTACGACGCATGGACGAGGTGTTAGTGTTGTCAAACGGTAACCTTTCAGTGGTGTTACGATGATTACAAGAATTGTTTTGAAATAACTGAGACTCGCGACGCATCTGACGTAATGCTCGTGGAGCTGCCTTGATTGCTCCAAAATTTTGAGAATTCATTGGACTGTTTTTTAGTACCGGATGGAATGATAAATTGGAATATAAATCGAGTATTTAATTGAGACATTCTAGAATGATCCTGACTAATCGAGAGTACTTATATACATTACTCTGCTCCATTGTTGCGATGTGCGTTTGTTGAAGGTGTGGAGAGAGTGGGAGAGAGTCTCACTAAAGGAGTTTTCAAAATGCCTGATAGAAGATTGTTCATTATTTTTATTAACGATATCCACACTGAGAGGAAAATTTCCTAATACGTAGACCATATTTACTTGAGAGAAGTAAATTATTTTCAATGGTTTAAATCTCAGAATGTTTGCGGTTCACGGAACTCGAATGAATCCTCATTTATCACTATCGTTGAGCAGTATATCATGAATATATTACATATTGAAATATTGGAACTGCATAACAAGAAAATCATGAAAACAATAAATATTTGAAGATTGATGATTCTTCTACGCGATTTGAATGAGTTCATTTTCGACAAAATCATACTTGAGTACAAGAATATTTTAAAGTATGAGAACTTTCTCGGGCCACGTGAGTTGAGATGTCTGGGAGAATTAAACAATTGAAGAAAAATTACTTGTCTCAAGAAAATATGTTTCAGATATTAGAATTTTTTTTTCTCAGTGCAAGCATCTTTTACAGTTTGGTACAGACCACACTATAGATTCAACCATTTTCAATCATCAAATTTGTCAATTAAATTTCGTGAGAAAATTTTTCTTCCAATTACATTTTGCACAGAAATATTATTTTTTTAAACACCGTTCTTTGTAAATGAACAGTTGAAATTGGGTAATCTTTCGGAAATCTAATTTTTGAAACGTTAAGGCCCGGGTGTACTATCTTTCGAATGTTATCTGGATTTTTTTTATCTTTCGTAATCCAAAATTGTCAATTGAGTGGTACATCATGTAGAAATTCCCAAAAATTATGATAGAGTGATAAAAAAAATAGAAAAAATTCTGAACTTTTTCAAAGAGCGTTTTTAATTGAGATTCAGAATGAGTTGAAAAAAGTGGAAATTACAAATATCTGATTCGCTGTGGCAAATTATCTATTAGCTGTCATTTTCCATGGTGGATAACAAAAGACTAACTCCTCATGGGAAGTGACAGCTAGTTATATCAATTTTCAAAACAGTGGTATGTAGCCATCTGCCATTTTTATGTGATAAAAGTGCGATTAAAAAATTCTCCAAAATATTACAACTTTTTTCAAAGAGCCTTTTCCGTAATAAATGTCTCTGAGGAGTGTGGGAAAATGATATTGGGTGATAGGCCACCATTTGTCGCCGTAAATCAGATACATTTTTCAATTTCTTGTTATTCAACTTATTCTGAATATAAATTAAAAATGCTCTTTAAAAAAATTGAGAATTTCTTCTACTTTTTTTTATTATTCATTCATAATTTTTCAAAACTTCTGCATGCTGCAGGACTCAATTGACAATTTCAGATGACAAAAGATGAAAAAAACTATCGAGATAACGTTCCAAAGATAGTACACCCGGGCCTTAAATCGATTTCTGGTAAAATTCTGAATATGAATGAATTTGTTACGATTCCGAACAAATGATTTTGATGGTGGATAATTGATCGTTCATAAATTACGCTGGATTAATTTATACTCTTTTATTTTAATTTATTTTGTTTCCACTTCCGTCTTCTCAAGTAGATTAAGGATGTTTCTCCAAAATCACAAGTATTCAAAAAAAATTGATTTTTTTTCAACTGAGAGATGAAGTTATTCCCGTTATTTTGAGAAAAATTTCAATCCACCAACCCACGTTTATTATTTATAAATGAAGTGGACAAAGTGCACCAAACGCATGCGCAAAGATGTGCTTATATGAGACAGAATCTTTCAAATATTTACTCTTTTTGCCCGGGTACCCCGAATTTTTCTCTGGCCATTCGATTCAGTATAGTTTTGCACATTACCTTCTGTTTTTATTTCTATTTTTAGAGTCTCCTAGCAGGTGAATTATAAATTTCAATATAAATCCCACAAGAGCCCGTGTATAAAGAAAAATTTGTTTATTTATTTCTGGCGAGACTACTGCGATTAATTTTTTTTAACATCAAAGAAGTTAGTTTCATATATTCTGCTATCAGCCAAAAAAATTATAGAATTTCCCTTGAACCTGAAAAAATAAGATTTTCTGAAAATGGCTAAACATCCTTAATTCAATTTCATCCAGTCTTATTCTTATTATATTTTTTTTCCCCTTAATTCACAAGTTACAACATTGAATGAAGAGGAATTATGGCAAAGATCAATAAAAAGTATTTTTTTTGTGATCAAAACAAACATAAAACAAAGCCATTCAAAATCTCAATCTGGTAATAGAAAAATGTACAGCCCAATCTTCGTACAAGGTACCACAGGGGCTGTAATTACGCATCCCACACTTTACTTGCGCTCAGAGGGGAAAATATTTTGATTTGATATTCTCCATACAAGATACTAGACGATTTCCATTTTTAGGATCGTTTGAGGACGATTCCTGATGTGAAACACGAATGTTTGATTAGAAGGTATTGTTCCTTTCCAAAATAGCAATTTAGAAATTCGGAATATGTTAGTTTGTTAATAGGGCCTTGCGAGGCAAAATTTAGACTCATTGGAATTCTTGTTTTCATAAAAATTGGGTAGAATTTTGTTTTGTTTTGCCTATCTATCCATCCAAAAAATGGACGTAAATCACATGGTGCAATACGTGTAACAAAATAGATATTTTAGCAAGTTTTATGAGCGATGCGTTCAATTTTATTCATTGACTGTAACGAGTGCCCATGCGTTTCGAAATTCAATTGACGTGCAATTAAGTTCTAGATCATACATGAATACATTTCCAATAATTTCTGCAATATGTCAACTCCATTCCCACTCAATTCTAGCCCCTTTGTCGAGTATCTAGTACGGAGACCGAGTGCTTGCAATTTTGGATACAAATCCGTGAAGAAATTCAGTAGCGAAGTGCTAAACTAGGTGAAATCGATTTTGACTTTTGGTCAGTTCTTGATGAATATCTTGGAATTTAAGAGAGATAGCAAAACTTTTCTCATTATCATTTTTATAACCCTCCATTGGCTCTACAAAAAAGGTCATGAGAAAAATTTTTCTATCTCGTTTAGATTCCGAGATATTCGTCAAAAACTGGCCAATAGTCAAAATTGACTTAATCCGGTTTACCGCTTCGCTACTGAATTGTTCTCCCTGTAGAGCAAAAAAGTGATTTACCGAAATCTTTCAAAGCAACTGCGCCGGTTTTCTGAAATCATGAGGAAAGTCCGATGCACCTATTGACCTTCTTTTTTCGAACCCGAAAACATTTTATTCGTGGAGAAAAATAAACATCCTTAGCGTCAACATTTCCCCCACTTTCTCATCCTTTGTTCGACGCACAATTTAATCCACAATCGATTTTTCTGTTGTTACAGATAAGTAGAATGGTGCATGTGATGTCGAACTCTTAGAACCTTCTTCATCATACAAATAAAGTACAATTGTCCACTCCGAATTAATTGAAACTAACAGCATATTTAAATATACCTTTAACGAGTACAATAATTAACCCGAAAAAACTCGCGTGAACCTCATAAATAATTCAAATACCCGAGAAAAGAACCAATTTATCGCAAAAAGTAGAAAAAAGAGAAACTTGAGAACACAGAGTGTCAATTAAAAACTTTCCTACTATCCAAACCAAAAGACATAAGCGACATAAAAGTGAAGATTTAATACACTTGACAATGGGTTCGTCGAGGCCGCCAGACCGTTCGCTTGGCAGTGGAATATCCTTTCCCCAGTGGATGAGAGGAAAAGTTGATAGTCGGTGAGTACCTTTTATCTAATCAATTAATCCACAATGAAACTTATCGCGTGGAAAATGAGAAAATTCCTTCCGAGACGGTTGAAGTATTATGAAGACACCTCGATTTTTAAAGATCAAAATTTGAAATAGATTGTGAATGGGAGTTTATATGAGTAGAAACATTCTGGTGGAAATTGTGGCCAATCTAAGGTCTATTATCGTTGATAATTAATTTAGAAGTGGCAAATGAGAAATAATTTAAAAACAAACATGACAAATTGATTTTCTATGCTCATTAAAGTTGATGAATAATTATTTTTTTGGTATTTTGAATTTGGTTTTTCTTATTAGAATCTTTAAAGATAAAAAAATTCAAATCAATTTCAAATGGAAGTGAATAGCGACAGAAATATCCAAATGGAATTTGGGCTCAATGGACATTCTATGATTATTGTTAATAATCAATTCAGAAGTGCTGAATAACACAAAATTCTCATGAGAAAATTACCATTTCAAAATTAAGAAGAACATTCAAATCTCGAAAAAATCTTGAAAAATCCGAAAAACGTATAGAAATTTGATGTCACGAAGAAAAAATACTTTCAAATGTGTAGTCACTGATAAATAGTATATTTCGATACGAGTGAGACGGAATTTTCAGGAGTGTAAAGATGGCGTACACGGAACGTGCGTGAAATTTCGAACTACGTACAAGTGATGAAAAAAATTCTAGTCAAGCAAGAAACTATTCTTAAAGAAAATAGTTATAAAAACAATTTAACCGATTAATGTTTCCCAAACATTAAAGTGAAAATTTATGTAAAAAGTCGACGATAAATAATCATTTTTTGAGCATTTTAAATTAATGTCCCTTCGTTACACCCAACGACTCTTCACACCACTTTAAAATGCGCGTCATGAATCATCGGCATTGGTTTTTTGACGTGGATACGTCTATGGTTTCAATATGGGGGTCATTTTGGGAAACGGTTGTTATGTGCAGCGCCACCCATCGGAATTCTAGAAAATTCTAGACATTTCGAGGTAATTTGAGAAGTTTCTTGAAATTTCGAAAAATTCAAGGAGTTTCTAGAAATGTTGATGAAATTCAGGGAGTTTCTAGAAAATTCGAGAGAATTCAAAGAGTTTCCAGAAAATTCGAGGGAATGCAAAGAGTTTCTAAGAAATTCGAGAAAGAAGGAAAGACCATGGACGTATCCACGGACAGTTACAACTGTATCGAAGATACAGCCGCCTATTTTATATATCTATATCCAGTTGTTTGATGACGGAATTAACTGCGGGTACAGCGCGTAGTCGTCTCGGAAAAATGCGCAAATAGATGGCAGGAAATAGTAGAGCACTAATGACTTAACACTTCATAACTGAATGAATAATTTTTTTTCTTCTATTTTTATGGCGAGAAAGTTCTCACAGATGTTGGTAAATATTGAATTTTGTTTCGCGTATGTTTTGAATTATGTCGAGTAATATTTTTCGTTCGAGTCGTTCTATAAATGAATCTGGCGGTCTCGCCAACAAATTGAGGACGATGCTAGAGTTGCATGTTAATTAGTTGAATTCAGTAGGCGTGAAGGAAGGTTTAATCAACGACACGAGGGTGTGTGACCCCATAGAACAAACGAAAGTTGGTTTTTTTCGTCTCTAACCAGTGGTTTGCCTTTTTTTTCTGTTTTGTTTCTGTTTCTGTCGGGGGTTATGAACATTTATTCTTCTGCAGATTCGATTTCGACCAGAGCACCTTCAGTCCACCTTCCCACGACGACAGTTTCTTCTGCATCAGATACTCAAAATCTGCTAGTGCCAATCAACAACAGGAGGGTTTTCGGCCGTTCAATGAAGTTCTGAATGAGTCGAAACCTGTGAATGATACTATCAATAAGACTAGTAGTCAATATGATCCATCATTAGTGTCCAGTGATGCAACTAAAATATCGAACATCAAGGAGATAGACTTCAGCAAACATCCACTGCCCTGTCAGCCGTATGTTCCAATTGCAAATAAAGGTAATTCATTTATGGTTACAATTTGACTCTATACAGGGTGTCCCGAAATTGATCGGACATCGCATGAGGGTCAGACGAAAAATCCAATGGAACTTTTGTTTCCAGTGCTTCGTTAAGGATATCCTAGTATCTTTTACAGTTTGGTTCAGACCACACGATAGATTCAACCATTTTCAATCATCAAGTTTGTCAATTAAATTGCGTGAGAAAGATTTGAGAAAAATTATGAATATTCAGTGTCATTCAAATTACATTTTGCACTGAATGTTTTTTAACCGTCGTTATTTATAGATAAATAGTTGAAATTGTTTAAACTTTCGAAATCGATTTCTGATAAAATTCTGAATATGAATAAATTTGTTACGATTTCTAGATGTAAAACTGTAATAGTAGAATCAAGGAATAGTATATTGTGTTACAAGTACGTAAAGAGCCACTTTTTCGCAAGCACGCGTAGCACATCCTATTTTTTGTAATACCTGCCGAGTTCACTGTTCGGAACCGTAGTGGGGGTAAAGTGGTTGCTTTTGTGCACGATGTGCGTAAAACAACCACTTTAGACACACTAAACGGTTTCGAAAAGTGAACTTTTGAGGCAGGTATTACAAAAATAAAGTATTCTATTCTTGTTACGATGCTGAACTAACAATTTTTATGGTGGAAAATTGATTGTTTGTAAATTATTTATTTTATTTCTCTAAATTATTCAATTTGTTTTATTTTATTTCCATTTCCGTCTTCACAATTAGATTAATTTAATTTTATCCATTCGTATTCTATTCGTATTATATATTTTTTTTCCTTAATTCACAAGTTACAATATTGAATGAAGAGGAATTACGTGAAAGATCAATAAAGTGTCGTTTTTTGTGATCAAAACAAACAAAAGCCATTCGAAATCTCCTTCGGGTAATAGAAAAATTATGAATTGGAGACTAAAAATGTTTAAAAAGTGATGATCGGCTGGATAATGGAGAAAATTTGTTTTTCTTCATTTGTGTCAGGGGAAACTTGGAATCACTGTTTTTTCTTCGAATACGGGCGGGATATGAATATTTTGGAATTTTATGATCCCATTTCAACGAGAAAAAAATGTAGGCGGGAAGAAATAAAACATAAATTTTTTAACGTCTGCGGAAAGTTTTAAAGTCGATGTATTCTTTCGAATAATGGAAGAATACCCATAAATTTGACTTGTATCTTTGCATTTTGATAGTATGGATAGCATAAATGACAGAAATTGAGAATTGGAGACTAAAAATTTTATCGGATTATTATTATGTAATAATAATAGAAAATGCTAGTAATGTTAAACAATTTTAAGCAATTTCTTAATTATTTCATCAATTTTCTCGAGCAGTAAACTTTCTATTTTTTCGGAGTTTCAAAATGTTTTCTAACGGTTCAATATCGCGATTCAAATTAAGACCTGCAATGTGTAAATAATAAAATTATGGTAAAATTTCCGGAAACTTAGGGTCAAATGGGGCTCAAATAAAAGCTCTGATAATCAACTACAAAAGTAGAAAGGCATTTCACTGCAGAGCAATTATTCATATTTCAGACTTTCGAATTCGAGCCAAGCAATTATTTTTCTGGTAATTTGCAATTAACAATTTTGCTGGCCCAAACAATACTTGTTTGAGAACTTGTTCGGTTGTCTCTCAATGCATATGAACCCTGAAAATTTATCTTAATTACGTTATCTTAATTTACAAAATTATTATACAGAGAAAACTCACCGTTTATCTTTTTCCCTCAATTCAGAGCGTGCAGGAAACGGCCATCAATTCGCTCAAAAATCTCCCCAAACAAAATCTCAAGGGACAGACGATGGATTTCACGGTGAGCCAGCGCTGTGTGGCAAATCAATCGTCAACGTGGCGACTCGCATGATGCTGGGATCCCTCAATAAGAAATCCGAGAGTCCAGTGGACCCTAAAATGGAAAAAAATGAGGTGTTGATTCGTAAGGGCAGCCAATCATTGCCAGTAACACCGATAGCGTCGCCAACGTCAACGCCAGAGGGATCGCCGAAATCCCGTAGACGAGGGCAGGGCAACCGCTACTTCACGGGATCGTTTATACCGGATCGTGAGAAATACCAGAGTGGATGGTTATTGGGCAGTATACTGAGTCAATCAAGGGAAACAGTCGGCAATAAAATTGAAGAGGAGGATGAAGTTGCGGAGGTGGTGCCACCGAAGACATTAAACAGGAAAAAGTCCATTTCCTCGCAGAATCTTTCGTATCTGGGTAAAGAGGATATAACTCCCAAGGCTAGTATAATGCAAGCCACTGTTACGTTCCAAGCTAAACCCTCGGAGCTGCGAGAAATGAATTTTTGGTCTCCAACGTCAATGTAATTTTTACCTTTAACTCAATTTATTCGCTCATTCTTTCGTCTTCTGTCTTGAACCGGAGTGTATCGGTTTTTAATTTGGAAAATTTTTAATTTTCACTAGATTGTACCTCAATTTATTGACAAATTGCACACGTGCGATGCTTTCTGACTAATTCGCAATATTTTTTTTTGATGATTATTATTGTGGATGTAATTGTTAAAACCGTTTATTTTGATCGATTTAATTTAGTAGATTGTAGGGTAGTGGTCGATCACACCTGATTATTACAGAGGCAAAGAATTCTCTTGTTTATTGGATTATTTACTGGTCTGAAGAGACGTGATCATGGGTACAACAGTTTGAGAGTTATGATGGATGATTAATTTGATCGACTTTGCAGAGGGAAAATGTTTCATGTGATTTTTTTGAGGTATTGTTCATAATTGAAAATGGAAATAAAGAAACTAACACAACTATTTGAGGTAAATTTTTTTCCAATTTTGAAACACGGGGGGTCGGTGGTGAAAGGGTGGAATAGGGTGAGGCGACTTGACTCGAAGATCAATTTTTTTCAACATGTTCTTTTTAGAATAGAATTAATCCGTGAGGGGGTGCAGCGTAGAAAGTTCTAGAGCATTTTCAAAATTCTATAATGAAAATTATTCAGTCTTTTCTTAGACGTCCGCTTTTTTATCTCGGAATTGAAGCGAAATATAGAATTTTTCGTAAACACAGCGTCGTAAAATATTACTTTAGTGATTTTTACTCAGCTCAGGGAAACGCTGATTCTTACTGAAAGATGGAAGAGAAGGGGTCTCTCGTTCACACTATAGTCCGACTTCCGAAGGAAGTCATTTGACTGTGCAGAGACGTTGTCAATGCCAATGCCAAGACAATGTTGGTGACAAAAACCGTGAGAACGCTTATTCAAGTATTTTCGCTTCCGAATGGAAGCATCGTATTCGTCAAATCTGAAATTTCATTTTTTTTTGTTTGACGATGATTTTGTGTGACGTATGTGTGCTTTTTTTTCAAATTTAGTTTTTCGAGGATCATTCGAAAAATAATCGTCGAATTCTTTTCAATTATGGCTTAAAATTTTCGCTTGGATGTTATCTCTGTCGAGTTCGAAGATAGTGGCGATCGCATCATTTATTTTGAAATTATAGCCTTTAGAAGCTGTTAGTCGAGGTTTAATCAGGGTTTAGTCGGGATTTAGTCGGAGGTTCATCAGGGTTTAACCAAAGTTTCTACCAGTTTAATTTTAATTTAGTCGGTGTCTGTTGGATGTTTAATCAGGGCATATGGTTTCTCGGCTAGTATATTTTCTATCCCAATTTATCATTCAGAAGAAAATAGCTAATTCATTAGCAAAAAAGTTATACTGGTTTAAGTCCAGTTTAAGGAAAACTATTCCGGAGAAAAATAAAATTGAAATAATTTATTTACGACCGAGAAGACATCAACATTGATATGTCAGGAGCATGAGCTCTCGTGATATCAAATTTTACATTCATTTTGTTTTCACTCAATGTGTCTAATTTAAAATAAGTTCAGTTAATTACAAAATTTTATCTCAAATTGTTTACAAAAAAAACTATTGAATTTTCCTGAGGTTAAACTTCCGGAACGATCCCTAGGGGACGGTGGGGCAAAATGAAACACGGGGCAAAATGAAACAGCAAGAAAATCTTGTGATCTAAGGGAGATAGGAGGATTTTCATGAAAACCTTTTTTGTAGAGAATTTTACAAGCTACAAAAAAGGTCCTCTTCAAAAACGTCCTATCTCCTTTAGATGACGAGATTTTCCCACTGTTTCATTTTGCCCCGTGTTTCATTTTGCCCCATGCTCCCCTACTAATCTGAAATTAATGACACAAAACTGAATATGCACTTTTTTGTTTTAATTCGATTAATCCATTCGGAAGTAAATGGCAGACCTGTGCAATGGGCCACTTGTTGTCATTAGGCCGGAGAAACCGCGATTTATAATAATCGCTTCGTTCCGTTAAACTGCGGTTTTCGGGCCTAATGACGTGAAAAACTTTTCTTTTAAAATTGGTTTCGGCAACTCTCCATACGTCACTCAGTATGAAAAAAGGTTTAATTATGTGACGTTGAACTGAAGAAACTTTCTCTTTAAATTTATGCACAAAACAGTTTTAGCGAGTTTATTTATACATTCAATATTTACATACAAAATAAAATTGTAACATTAAATACAATCGGATGTATGAGTCTTCGAGGGTCGGCATTTACCAGGCATAGGAGTATCCAAGCCCGGAGAATGTGGCGTGGGCAACAACGGGTGCGGCAGCTACTGGTGCGTGTGCTGCATAGTGCACTGGGGCGGCTGCAACAGCGGCTGCTGGAGCAGCATAGTGAATTGGAGCGGGCGCAGCGTAGTGCAGCTGAGCGGGTGCGGCGTGGACGACTGGAGCTGGGGCGGCGTAGTGGAGGTGAGCCGGTGCGGCGTAGCTCAGGGTCTGGTAAAGCCCTGGGTTGCTCACACGAACGTCGGACTTGCTGGTGCTGGAGAAGGGCGTGTCAACGGTTTTCGAGTAGGTCGAGATCTGCTGGAGGTTTCCTGGGCTCCTGAGGATGTTTGAGGATTGGGAGGAGATGCTTGGCTCCTGCAAATTGTAACTGATCGGCGCGAATCCAGCGCTGGCCACTGCTACGAGGCAGGTCAGAACGATGAAGAACTGAAAGAATTTCATGGATTATCGATCCGTATCGAGAGGACAATTGGTGAAGAGCACTATTCTTCACTCAATTATTTTAATTTAAGTTGATTTAATTTATTCCTGCAAATTGATACATGGTAATTACAGAGAAATGAAGAATGAAAATGTATGAGATGAAGGAATGAAAATGGGTAGGTTTAAGCCAATTTTCTCCCGAGCTTGGTTTTCGTTATAAATTTTTAAAAAAATTGTACAGATTGGCTTCGTGCAAGACACCACAGGGACTGTAGGGGAATAAAGTTCCGAGAATTACGTATCTCCCACTTTACTTGCGCGCAGAGGGGAAAATATTTTGATTTGATATTCTTCGTGCAAGATATTAGACGATTTCCATTTTTATGATCGTTTGAGGACGATTCCTGGTGTGAAACACGAATGTTTGATTAGAAGGTATTGTTTCTTTTCAAAATAACAATTTAAAAATTCGGAATAAGTTAGTTTGTTAATAGGGGCCTGCGAGGCAAAATTGAGACTCATTGGAATTTAGCTTTTCATAAAAATTGGGTGAAATTTTGTTTTGTTTTGTCTATCTATCCGTCCAAAAAATGGACGTAAAACACATGGTGCAATACGTGTAAGAAAATAGATATTTTCCCAAGTTTTATGACCGATGCGTTCAATTTTTTTTATTAACTGTAACGAGTGCCCATTGGCTTTGAAATTTAATTGATGTGCAATTAAGTTCTGGATCATAGATGCATATATTTCCACTAATTTCTGCAGTATCTCAACTCCATTCCCACTCGATTCTAGCCCCTTTGTCCAGTATCTTGTATGGAGAATGCGAAACGAAAAAGATTCAAGCCAGAAAGTGGCGGTATCACTCGGCACGGATTCAGACCTAGTATCTTGTACGAAGACTAAACTATATTTTGCTTCACCCCTTCACTATCAAATCAAAACTAATACTTTTAATCATCTTTTAATTGTTTTTACTTAATGCCAAAATCGTGATTTCTGCAGATTTTGATCAGTTTTTGATGAATATCTCAGAACCTAAGAGAGATAGCAAAATTTTTCTCATGACATTTTTTGTAGAACCAATTAAGGGCTATAAAAAGGTGATGACAAAAATTTTTCTATCTCCTTTAGATTCCGAGATATTCGTCAAAAACTGGCCAATAGTCAAAATCGACTTAACCCGGTTTACCGCTTCGCTACTGAATTTGAAAATATTTTTTACTTTCAATTCAGAATGAAATATCCTTGTCAACTGTGAAGTGACCCTTGTGAAGCGATGAAACAGGATAGGTCAACTCGACTTTAATTTTTTTAAATAAATATCTCTAAATCTCAAGGGGATTGAAAATTTGTGATGAAGAATTTTCAGTACATTTCACATTTCCCTGATCTTCAAGTTGAAGTATTTTGCTTCACCACTTCACTATTAAATCAATAGTACACCATAGAACCAATATTCTCATTCAAATATTTCTTCTTCCTCACCACCAAAATAACGACTTCTACAAATTAATCCTACAAATTACCTTAGCCATAGTTGATTTATTTGCTGAATCCCTTGGATGTGTCTTCGAAATGAACGAAATTCGAATGATGCCTTGGACCCCAGCGAATCCCCTATATATACTCCTTCAAGAGGTAGGTGATTGTCCGAGAAAAAAAAATTGCGAATGAACGAGGGGAAAGAAGCCCAAACGTTAATGATTACATTGTGGTACTCGTAATCCCCCTCGAGAAACTGACGAATTCCTCGGTCAGCCGGTCACCTTGACGTAATAAGACAACCGGTATCAACCCCCGATAGACCTTCATCACATGCAAGATTTACTCAACGCTGAAGAAATTTATTTGGGTTACGGCTTCGGCTTTCAAAAGTTGTTGCGATTTTGTACGGTGCGTAAAGGAGATGTGGGGAAAAGGCGTGGTTCGGCGGTTTCGTAACTTGACTTTTTTTTCGCTAAGGCGGATCCCCCTTCAATTATGCTCGCGACTTTATGTAGGTCAGTTTTATCTCTTTGACGGTCTCGGAATTCTACCGACATATGGGACGAATTTATTGACGGATTTCATATGGATCTAAATTTCGATTTGCTCATTAGGAACAAGTATTTTACGTACTCAGTATTGCTTTTTACGGCGATTCTAAATACTTATTTTCAACTGCACTGACAGAAAAAATTGATTTTATCAAGAGAATTTTATTTGAACCAACTGTCATTTGGTTGTTAATTTTCAAATAAACATCATTTCATAGTGAACACCAGTCATTTCTTCTTGGGATACATTAGATTGGGAGAAATCGAACTCCTCTAGAATTGAAGTTCCTTTTATTTGTCGCAATAATGAGAGTAATTGATTTCTTTCTAGCCAAAAGTTTGCTAACTCCAGAAATTCGTTGGTTTACTCAAAAATCAAAATGATTCTCATGACTCAAAATGATTCTCAAGTAAATTATAATTGAAGTGAGCATTTCGTATGTCGAATCAGGATGAACATTGTTACGCAGAAAAAGCTTTGAGATTGTAGTAAGATGTCGTTGAGTTGAAAGAAGTTTATATTTCTTGACTAAAAAAATCGCATTAGTTTACAATAACAGAACCACAGATTCCGACAGTTCAACACAAACTTGGATGTCACCAATTTCATTCAATGTGATGTACGGAAAGCTCAATGTGAAAGTTCAACGTGATGTACGGTGAATACTTGTAACTTGACGCCAAAGACTTTTATTTCAGTAGAAAACGGAGATAAGTCGACTTATCTCCCAGTTGAGTTTTTGAGGAATATTTCCGAATCGAAGGGAGACAGCGAAATTTTTGTAATTACGTTTGTTGTAGCACTCAATCGGCCCCCCAAAAAAGGTTATAACAAATATTTTGCTATCTTTCTTAGATTCCGAGATATTGATTGAAAACTGGTCAATAGTTAAAATTGACTTATCTCCTTTTACCACTTCGCTATTGATTTGATTCAAGTGAATGTATCTCAAGAAGAAATGATTAATATTCACGGTAAGACCTTATTTATTTGAAATTGGTTCAAGTATATCATACTTGTTCCAAGAAAGAAACATCTCAATAGAAATAATTTTTTCTATCAGTGTGGAGTCCCATTTGAGTTGGGATTATCGATAATTTTGCAATTATTTCATTATTTGAAGTTGGAAGGTCTAAATTTAATTTTTCGGCGAATATGGTTTAGAGAAGTCTTTTTCGCTCATCTGACTAACATCATTTTTGCCGTGATGGCCGTAGGCTGGGATTCACGGACGCGCAGCGGCTAAATGTCAATTAAATTTTTTTTTCTAGGGCTTAAAATCAATTGAATTAAAAATAAGTAATTACTCGTAAAATATAATTTAATTGATACTGATTATCCAAAAAGGATCAATTCTACATGATAGTTTCAGATAAAAAATCTCTGGAGTTCAATAAATTTGGATAAACTAGAAAGCATTAATAATAAAATTTAAAAAAAATAGAAAGCATCCTTTAATAAAAAAATCCAGTGTAACGTTGTTTGAAGTCAATCTACTCGGCGTATTGTGTCATTAGGTTTTTTATAAATGATGATAACATACATTCAAAATATTAAGATAATACTGTATATATAATGGTATAGGTAACACAATATCGTATACTCAATGTATGTTATTATTATCAATTTATAGTTTAATTTTCTTTTGTTATCTACATCATATTTTGTAATACATGTAGTACTCTATCATATATTGTATATTATACATAGTTTATATAATATAATATTGTATAGAATACAATATAACATAGCATTATCGTAATATCTTCAACGTATGCTATCATCATTTATAAAAAATCTAATGACACAATACGCCGAATAGATTGACTTCAAAAAACGTAACACTGGATGTATTTTATATAAAAAAATACAAAACATTTCTGAAACTTTTGCTTCGGAAAACTTGATATCAACTTCAGAAATTTAATATAATACTATTCACTACAATTGACATACATTGAGCCCCATGGAGTAGGACATACGCACGCAGAGCGCGCGGACTAATTTTGTAGAGTTAAATAAATTAAAATCATCTTGTACTTGCATAATTTTTCGTTTTTATTAACAACACAGTTTTAGAAAAAGAACAATAATCGTGTGGATTTATTCGAGCTGAAATAATTACTTTGAAGTGTCTATTTTGTTAATGATGAATGATATTTCTATAAGTTGAGGAGAGGTAAGTCGTAATACGTCAAGTATGACATCTTTGTTAATGATGCGAGCATTTCAAGAATGAGCCATCTGAAACGAAAGTGTCGTGGAACCTTTTTCACAGCTACCAAATTTCTCCGCAAAAATGATCCTTTGACATTTTTTTTTCTAAATTCTCTGCATTCAATCAACTCGTTTTATTCTGTCTTGTTACGTTTCACAACTTCTCTCCCCATTCCGTTATTTTAATTCCAATTTAAACGGCGCTCACTCTTTACTATGAACACACTTCTATTTCTAATATTTCAGAATATGTTGTGATATCAGATGTTGTGATACCAGAAATAATGCACGCAAAAAAATTCCTTAGAACAACCTTGAAAATTTACCAGAGAATTCGATTGCATTTCTCTTGAACTTCCGTTGCAAATGCCATTCGTTTTTTTGCAATTTCCACTGAAAAGATCCGCAGTTTATCTGCGCTTTTTTTCTCCATAGAAATGATCAGTAGAAAATACGTCATAGAAAAAATCAATAGAATTAGATGCCTTATGCAGTTTAGTCTATTGCGATATTTTTTATAGAAGTTCCTCGACTGAAATTCCCCAAGTTTTACTGTTAAATTTTTTGAATGGCAGGAGAAAAAAAATAAAGAGAAAAAGAATATTTCTATTGAGATATTTTTCATAGAAATTCCTCGACTGAAATTTCCCACGTTTTAGTGTTGAATTTTTTGATTGGCAGGAGAAAAAAAATAAAGAGAAAAGACTCAGAAAATTCATGTCCGGGGATTCCTATAGAAATTTTTATTCTTCAACTTCTTGTATTGAGATATTTAAATGTCTCAATCAAAGAAGTGGTATGAAAGGTCGAAATTCTACAAATTTTTTACAAGTTTCTACTAGGCATTCTCTATAAATGAAAAAAAGGGCAGTAAAGCTTCGGAATTTTCCGCCAATTCAATTCCAATTTTTTCGATGTGCATTCCTCAGCTGAAAGTCTTAAGTATTTTGTTCAATTTTAATACAATTTGATTTTTTTAAACTTATTCTGTTGACACATTTTCTGCACAAAATGTTGGTCTCGAATTTTCTCATTTTTTTGTTTGAGATTTTCAAAAAAAGGATAAAAATAGAATGGAAGGGGATTCTTATAGAAAGTGTCTCAATAGAAGAAGTTTCATAGAAAAATCAAAACTCTACAGATTTCGTTTATAAAATAATGTCTATTAGACATTATTAATAAAAAATCGGCAAAAAATTAATCGATTTTCACTGGAAGTTGACCCGAATTTTATTAGCGAATTCGTTGGGATTTTCTACGAAATTTTTTCATGCGTATGCGAATAATGAGGTAATCTAAATGATTCACCTTTCTCATTTCCCTCGTATTTTTTAAATTTCTGTTTCATGCATAAGCAGACTGACAATTAGTATTATTCTCCCATTTTCTCTTTTCTATATTTTTAGTAATGTTTCAAGGAGACGGGGCTCGAGGATCCACTCGAGGGGGTCTCAGGGCCGCTCAAGCATCGGAGTCGGCTGTTGGACTCTTGCACCAAATATAATTCGCCTCACACTCTCTCCCCTTTACTCTTATTTTCTCACCTTTATTTCTTCGTATCTTTCCTTTTATTCAAACTCCTCCCTTTCTGTTTGATTTAACAAACCAGGTCATTTACAAGGATCGCAAGAATACTCCAGATAGCAACTATATATTTTATATAAAAATTCTTAATTAGTTTATTATATATTCCTTTTATTCTTTGATTCAATAAACAATTCACGTGACACTGTCAACATTATTTAGTAGCGTTATTCTCTGTGAATAGAATTTAAAAATTTTTGTGTCCACTTTGCACTGCACGGATGCACAAATTCAAGAGAAAATCGTAATGCATTTGCTAGGGAATTCCAGAAAATATTTAATAATGAAGGGTCAATGGTTTTTTATTTTTCTGTTCAAAAATCATTCGTTTGCGATTTTTTGGTGAAATTTCTTGGGAGAAAATTTGCAAGATTTTTCATGGTATTTTTTCAATCTCACGCACGAAAAAATTTAATAGATAATCGTAGGGAATTTGCTAGACGATTCTATTGGATTTCTATTGATATTCAATAGAAAAATTCAATAGTATTCGATTTTTTTATACAACTTATTCTATTGAGATATTTTCTATAAAATTTCTTCGGCTCAAATTTACCAAGTTTGTTTTCATCCCGTTTTTCATTTCTTTTCGTTACGAAAATCGAACAAAAAACTTTGAAAATTGGAGCCGAAGAAATTCTGTAGAATATTTTCTATTGGACATTTCAATAGAATGCCGAAAACCAATAGAAAGTTCAATAGAAATCCAGTAGAATTATCTAGCGAATTCGTCAGACAATTCTATTGGATTTCTATTGAGATATTCTCTATAGAATATCCTGGGCTCAAATTTTCCCGATTTTT